ACTACGGAGTCGCCACTTTTGATATTTTATTTGGCGGTGGTTTTAGATAGATATAAGTTTGATAATTACATTAAGGGAGATATAGGATTGTATCGCACCGACGATGATCAAGTCAAAAAGATTCATTTCAATACTAAAACGCCCAAGCGGCTAACGGGGCCGATCAGTGGCGAAGAGGATAAAAGTATAAATACAGTATATCGGTCATATGAGGATCAAAACTACATTGTGACTAGTGTAAATACGTGTTCCTAACTTTTGTCATAGATGATATAAACGGAAAGGCAATACACTGTATACACGGCGAGGCAGTTACCAAGAATCCAAATTTTCAAGAGTTTTCAGGAGTACTGTATTTTTTTTTTCATTATTTATTGGGCACTCCCCACATCCTTGTGTAAGGTGAAGCGCAGAAGCGTTTACAGCGCCCAACAGGGAAGCATGCTAAGTTCATGCTTGCCTTTATGTCTCATGAATTAAGGGCGTAGAAGCCTGAAGAGTCAAGGGCATAGAAGCCTGAAGAGTCAATGGTTTATGTCATCAAGTTATTGGAAGCTCCAACAACTTGTCCCTGAATACGAATTCGCAACTTTCGACTTACACCAGGTACCTACTTTACTGCTAGGTGAACAGGGACTAATGGGGGCTAGGAAGTAAGTCCAAACAACTTCCACCGGCCCGGGAATCTTTGTAAAGTTCCTCTCCGTGAGTGACAAACCCGCGGGTGATTGCTTTTACACAAACATAATGCCACGGACAGAAACATTTTGGGGCCGTGGTATCATTGGGGACGGAAACGTGCTGTACTGAGACAATTTTTTTTTAGACTGAGACAAGGTTTTTTGATGAGACAGAAACGTTGTGGATGGCATTATGAGCGAAGACACCAAAAATTAGAAGATAAACATGCCAGTGAGTCTCTTGGAAAGGATTCTATACCCTATTTTCTACTCTTGAATGGTACACACTGAATTAGAAGCCTTCCGTACATTAGCATTCGACCGCCTTCACTTTGTGTCTATAAAGTCAGGCACCTCTTTACAGTTTGGTAAACTGGGCTCGAACCAGTACCCGTTAGGGCAGAAGACGAACATTGTATCCACTTATCCGCCATGCACTGATGTATTGTGGTCGTTTTCAGCACTGCTGCGTTTCCTGGAAGCGGTTAGAGCATTCTAAGTACTCCAGGTTATGGCATAATGTGAATGCGTGACTTCAGAAACCCTCTTTTCAAAGCTTTGATCTTGGCCTTTGACCTTCGAGAGGGGGATTACCAGGCGGAAGTTGACATTGACCTTGAGGGTAGTTTAGTTGATTATATGTGGTTGGAAAGAGAACTGCTAATATAATACATTTATAAAATCAGACAAAATCTTGATGTTGTTGAAATGAGAGAACCATGTTTGTTGTGGTGAGTACAACAACGGTCTGAATGTAACTGACAGGGCGGCGTCATTGTGTGTCCCGCAGGTGGTGGCGGTGTTTTGTTAATTTTAATTCAGATACAGTGCTGGTGGGGTACTTATGTACTGCACACTGTGTATACTATCTAAACTTTTGTTATGGTGTACACGGGACCTCTCTGAACACAACTCACTATATCTGTAAAGTATCGCGAACAGGGTAAATTAATCCTTTATTTTTCACACGATACGAGCAAACCAAACCGACCCTGAACTAGCCTAACCACATGATCCCAGCACTGCATTCGTTAGGTAAGGTTAACTGGGCTCGTTCGTGTGCCTCTCTAACATTATACATTTAGTCAGATTGGTTGTTGCCAGTGTAGCTCTCAGCTGCTGGCAGTGTTGTGTGTACACTGTTAAGTTGTTACACCGCGACTGCTGGAGCTGTTCTCTTACAGCTGCTGAAGCTGAGCACCAGAGAGAGAGGAAAGAGAGATGGACACAAAATGGAGTGAAAGAAAAATAGAGAACTAGGTGAGAGACAAAAAGTAAACAAGGTGAGAGATACACAGAGAGAAAGAAACACAGGCTGAAGAAAGGAGAGTAAGGAGAAGAGATGTATAAATAAATACACACAGTGGGCGAGACAGCACACAGGGGTGGGTGGGGGGTAGAGATGCAACAATAATCTGTTTCCTCTTTAACGTACACTATCTCTTGTAAGTGACCAAGTGGTGCAGCTCTTCCTAATATATATATATATATATATATATATATATATATATATATATATATATATATATATATATATATATATATATATATATATATATATATATATATATTTATTTATTTATTTATTTATTTATTTATTTATTTATTTATTTATTTATTTATAAAGAGAGAGAGAGAGAGCGTTGAGTTGTGAGGATGAGAAGGAAGCACGTTGTTAAGCATACACACACACACACCCTCATACACCAACACTCCTCATAAAACTCTCCTTCATCCACTTCTGCCACTCTCGATTTTGTTTCTATTCATCATCGCCTCGTCCCTGTGTACTGTTATTTCATTTTTTTGTTTACCTCTACACTGTTTATCATCATCCTGTTTATCCGTATTCATTATCTCATCTCCTACCTCTCATATGTTGTTTTGCAGTCAGTGTCGTCTTTGTCTGTCTGTCTGTTTGTCTGTCTCACTTAGGTATTTTATTCTGGCTAACGGTAGAAAGGTTAATGAGATGTAAACAATGTGTAAGTGACCACAAGTACCACAAGCACACATGTATTGATCATGAACAGGGTCAAGGGAGGGAGGTCATGGGGTTCTCTGACGCTTAGGTAGTTAGTTGGTTGGTTACGTAGTTAATTACGTAGTTATTAGTTAGTTTGTTTGTCAAATGATCTCTCAATCAGCGAGTCTATCAGCCAGTTACCCAATAAGCTATTAAGTTAGTTTGTTAGTCAGGCAGCCAGTCAATTATGTAGTCAATTAGTCACTCACTCAGTCAGTCAGTCAAACGATCAGTCTGGAACGTTGAAATAAACTTAACTAATATTCACCCACGAGGTAAGTTCATTCACCTCTGGGAGTTAATTAGGAGATGTAGGGCAGGTACACCACCACTCACTGATAAGGCGAGTCTTACCTGGAAGATGACAAGATAAGCCTCATCTGATCACACACACACACACTGACCTTCGCCATCAGTACACACAATGATGGACTTCCGCAGTGTGTGGGTGACCTTGACTCCTCCCAGCCACCAGAGCTGTCCACCAAGACTGAGGAAAGTGTCCACCAAGACTGAGGAAAGTGTCCACCAAGACTGAGGAAAGTGTCCACCAAGACTGAGGAAAGTGTCCACCAAGACTGAGGAAAGTGTCCACCAAGACTGAGGAAAGTGTCCACCAAGACTGAGGAAAGTGTCCACCAAGACTGAGGCAGGTGTCTAAATACTCATGCCCGACTTTACATGGTCAAATGGTACCATTTTATTTATTCATCTTCAACCCAATAGTACACCAGAGCTTTGAAGACCAGACCCTGAAGTACACACACACACACACACACACACACACACACACCTTAGTATTCTCATAGGAGCTAAAACAAAGCAAAATAACTTCTTAACATTTCCAAGTCATCTTTATTCTTTATCTTCAATATTGATGAGGAAGTAGGAACTGGATCACCAAACTCATGATGCCAAGATGGAGCCAGAAGTGCGTTGTGGTTTTACCGTCCTCTCGAGTGTCGTATTTGTGGCATCAATAATGTGTGTGTGTGTGTGTGTGTGTGTGTGTGTGTGTGTGTGTGTGTGTGTGTGTGTGTGTGTGTGTGTAATAATAAAATAATAATAATAATTAACGGTTTATTGAATGAGCATAGCAGCCAGAAGGCTGAAAATATACAGTTACATAATTGGGGAATGGGTTACGAATTACAAATAATATCATAAGTGATACAAATAAGCTATATAATAACTAGATGGGGAAAAGCTCAAACTACAGGGCATTTCAACATAGTGGCAGTGCAAGAAGTAGGATTTACTGGGAGTGAATACACTGGTTTATTACAAGTTATTGATAATTTTTACAGTGGTTGGGACTGGGCTGTTCTTATAGCGATCAGTTCGTGCACGTATGGGCTGGGTGCGGTTGTGGTGTCGAACAGCAATTCTCGGGCTAGGGATCTCAGGTGGTAGTAGGAGCCGGTGTCGAGGTTGGTGTAGAAGCTTCTTACCAAATTTGCAGATGAGGTCGTGGTGATGGTCAGTGAGAGTCGAAAGGGTACAGTTAAAAAAAAATAGAGACCTCAGTTCCTGTAGGCTTCAGGCGTACTGTACCTTACCCTAACCTATCCCACCCATTAAGACTTCAACCACCCAATTCTAAGGATAGGTTATGTTTGGTTAGGTTAGGCTTCATTAAGTTAGGATAGGTTAGGTTAGGTTAGGCTAAGGTCAGACTAGGTTAAGAAAGGTTAAGCTTGATTCGATTAAGTTATTTTAGGTTAGGTTAGTTTAGGTGTGAAGCCAATAAGACAAGACCCCATTAGGAACAGGACACATATTCCCTTTGACAAATATTACAGGAGCATTACTAAACGTTATGTAACTGTAATTTGTTATGTATTCTATAATTATGTAAGTGTTTGTCTACCATTATATAAGATCAAGTCACTTACCCTTAACTAATTTCACAGTGATAGTGCATTTACTAATATACTCACATAACTTTAATATAAGTACAGTACCTAAGCTGACCCTCACACATACACACACACAGAGGCAATAGACACATCATTGTTGACCTACATGTTACCATACACTTATTTTTGTTGTTTGTTAGAGATTATGGCTTTGAGTTAGGCCCTACACCGTACTAGACTGTGGCAGTGTGGTGAGTGTATCAATCAATCACTGGGTATAGATTTTTCATTAGAAAGGAACATTAAGAAGCAGTTGTTGTGTGTGATGAAGTGTGAGGAGGAAGAGAGAAGTGTGTGACGGAGGGTGAGGAGGGAGAGAGAAGTGTGTGACGGAGAGTGAGGAGGGAGAGAGAAGTGTGTGACGGAGAGTGAGGAGGGAGAGAGAAGTGTGTGACGGAGAGTGAGGAGGGAGAAAGAAGTGTGTGACGGAGGGAGAGAGAAGTGTGTGACGGAGAGTGAGGAGGGAGAGAGAAGTGTGTGACGGAGGGTGAGAGAAGTGTGTGACGGAGAGTGAGGAGGAAGGGAAGGAAGAAGGAAGGAATAGCTCTTTCATTATATACAAAACCATATACAAATATATACTGTACGTTCGTTACTCCACCAGACACCACTAATAAGATGTCACAGCGCCGTTCTCTTAAAAAAAAAACAACAACAACACACAACAAAAAAACATCAATATCCAATGTTTTTGTTTTTAATCTCATTCTTGTTGTGGATCAGTGAGCGGCTGAGTTTCCCCATCATTGTTAGAGTGACCATTCCCCAAGACTGCTTCATCTTCCTTCTTGCCGTACAGGTCCAGCTGACGACTGTAGTAGAAGACGACAATGTCCCCGAACACAGAGATGAAGATGAACGCTGCCACACAAACACATAAATACACCGAATGAGTGACTCGAGTATAGTGACATTGTATATATGTGAATAATTACTATACGCATACATGAACTGTGTTGATGTATTAAAATGATGGTTAAATTTAAACGCATATACATACTGTACATACATACATACATACACACACATGCATACAAACACACACACATTCAAACAAACAGTACACACACACCCACACACACACCTACAGTACACCTACACCTACCTGCCGGGACCAGATGAATGATGAGTCGGAACTTGTCAGTGTCGTACAGCCAACAGTTACCTGAGCGGCCACACTTATTGTCCCACACCACACACGCTGAGTCTGTACCACCCCGGAGTGGATAAAGTAGATTAGTTAAAGTAGATGAAGTAGAGACCTATAATTTAACCTGTATTGACCTATAATTCACCTGTACCGACCTATAATTCACTTGTACCGACCTATAATTGACCTGTACTGACCTATAATTCACCTGTACCGACCTATAATTGATCTGTACTGACCTATAATTCACCTGCACTGCCCTATAATTCACCTGTACTGACCTATAATTCACTTGTACCGACCTATAATTGACCTGTACTGACCTATAATTCACTTGTACTGACCTATAATTCACCTGTACTGCCTTATAATTCACCTGTACCGACCTATAATTCACTTGTACCGACCTATAATTGACCTGTACTGACCTATAATTCACCTGTACTGCCCTATAATTCACCTGTACCGACCTATAATTCACTTGTACCGACCTATAATTATTGACCTGAACTGACCTATAATTCACCTGTACGTACCTATAATTCACCTGTACCCTATAATTCACCTGTGCCACCTGTACCGACCTATAATGTACACTTGTACTTGTACCGACCCCTATAATTGACCTGTACTGACCTATAATTCACCTGTACTTACCTATAATAATTGACCTGTACTGACCTATAATTCACCCGTAATGCCCTATAATTCACCTGTACTGACCTATAATTCACCTGTTACTGACCTATAATTCACCTGTACTGACCTGTATCTCACCTGTACTGACCTATAATTGACCTGTTACTTACCTATAATTGCGCCCATCAGTATAGGAGCAGGTAGGAAGGCGAACACACTCAGAATCACGTTGAGTGTACCTAACGCGATGCCTTTATCTTCCTCCGCTACTGATCTGTTAACATAGAGGATCATTATTACCTTTACAGTATGTCGTTGTTTTGGTTGTTGTTTTGGTTGTTGTTTTGGTTGTTGTTTTGGTTTGTTTGTAGTTATTTATTTATTTAGTTTAGTATTATAATTATTGTTGTAATATTATCATTAAAGGTAAAATATAACATAAATACTTGAGGTAATATATTCAATACTTTTATATCAGTCACCTATACAAATCTTTTAATAATACGTGTGTGTGTGTGTGTGTGTGTGTGTGTGTGACAGGTAAAGAAGGAAGGTGGAAGTGGTTATGAACTATATATTTGACTATTGTATGTATGTATGTATATGTATGTATGTATGTATGTATGTATGTATGTATGTATGTATGTATGTATGTATGTATGTATGTATGTATGTATATGACAGTGGATGATGAACCTGTACCTTAGATTAATGAGGTTACTACCGACTCTACCAGTGGAAGCTACCGTCTTTATCGCCATCTGGATAACAATATAGTAGATGAAGTTACCACACGGTTCTGGACAATAGCCGCTGCTTCCCGACCCGTAGGAGGCACCGTTCATCTGTAGAGGAAGGTCGTGACGTGTAGTGAAGATAAACCTACACACACACACACACACACACACACACACACACACACACACACTTTTTTCTTCCTTACATTTTAAAATATAATAAGAATTTTGGGGTGCGTTTATAGTTTCGTTGTGTATATATAGACAGACAGACAGACAGACAGAGAGGGAGGGATAAATAAACTGATAGATGGACAGATATCTTGTTACAACAGGTGAGCGAGTGACTTACCGAGTGGGTGGGGTCAAAGGTCACATTACTGAGGAGTGGTAGAGTGTCATTGTTGCTGCTGGTTATGTTGTCGATACACCTACAGTCACCGTATGCCTGTACAAGACGATACAATGTGTAATAAAATACTATATAATACAGTTTAATACATCATAATTCAATAGCTTATATCAGAGAAGAAAAATATAGGACACGTGAAGATTAGACACCCCATTTTACCTGATGATCAAACACCTAATTCTTCTACCTGTGGGGGGGGGGGTTAGGTTAGGGTAGGGGAGGTTAGGTTAGGTTATTACAGGTGGGTTATATTATACCTGGTTAGGTTAGGTTAGGTTAGGTTAGGCTATTACAGGCGGGTTACATTATGCTAGGTTGGGTTAAGTTCGGCTGGGGTGCCTATTCTTCAGGTGACACAAGATCACCGCTTACGATGGGGCTGGTGGAGGTGTTGACGGTGGAGCAGCCGGCGTAACAAGCGGAGTAGTAGAGGGTAGACTGGTCCTCTGCACACACTGGTGAGAACTTATCCGAACACCCACACTGAGTTGAGCAGTTGGGGGGAAGTGACCTGTGTTGGGAGGGCGATGGTGTATGAGTCTCTCTCTCTCTCTCTCTCTCTCTCTCTCTCTCTCTCTCTCTATGTATGTATGTATGTATGTATATGACAGTGGATGATGAACCTGTACCTTAGATTAATGAGGTTACTACCGACTCTACCAGTGGAAGCTACCGTCTTTATCGCCATCTGGATAACAATATAGTAGATGAAGTTACCACACGGTTCTGGACAATAGCCGCTGCTTCCCGACCCGTAGGAGGCACCGTTCATCTGTAGAGGAAGGTCGTGACGTGTAGTGAAGATAAACCTACACACACACACACACACACACACACACACACACACACACACACACACACACACACACACACACACACACACACACACACACACACACACGCACGCGCACACACACACACACACACACACACACACTTTTTTCTTCCTTACATTTTAAAATATAATAAGAATTTTGGGGTGCGTTTATAGTTTCGTTGTGTATATATAGACAGACAGACAGACAGACAGAGAGGGAGGGATAAATAAACTGATAGATGGACAGATATCTTGTTACAACAGGTGAGCGAGTGACTTACCGAGTGGGTGGGGTCAAAGGTCACATTACTGAGGAGTGGTAGAGTGTCATTGTTGCTGCTGGTTATGTTGTCGATACACCTACAGTCACCGTATGCCTGTACAAGACGATACAATGTGTAATAAAATACTATATAATACAGTTTAATACATCATAATTCAATAGCTTATATCAGAGAAGAAAAATATAGGACACGTGAAGATTAGACACCCCATTTTACCTGATGATCAAACACCTAATTCTTCTACCTGTGGGGGGGGGGGTTAGGTTAGGGTAGGGGAGGTTAGGTTAGGTTATTACAGGTGGGTTATATTATACCTGGTTAGGTTAGGTTAGGTTAGGTTAGGCTATTACAGGCGGGTTACATTATGCTAGGTTGGGTTAAGTTCGGCTGGGGTGCCTATTCTTCAGGTGACACAAGATCACCGCTTACGATGGGGCTGGTGGAGGTGTTGACGGTGGAGCAGCCGGCGTAACAAGCGGAGTAGTAGAGGGTAGACTGGTCCTCTGCACACACTGGTGAGAACTTATCCGAACACCCACACTGAGTTGAGCAGTTGGGGGGAAGTGACCTGTGTTGGGAGGGCGATGGTGTATGAGTCTCTCTCTCTCTCTCTCTCTCTCTCTCTCTCTCTCTCTCTCTCACACGTAGAAGTAGCTCTTAACTCACCCGTCTACAGGCCCTATGATGTCCAGCCTGGGGCAACCAATGGAGCTAAGGACGATGTAACTACAGCAGGTAAATAGCGTGATGAAGATGTTGTACCCTGTCACGAACCTGGGACCTGGTTGTGCCCACCTGAGTACAGCTCCCCCTAGTCCCGTGCCCAGTACCAGGGATACAAACGATGCCATACCTGTGAAAATAAGAGTACCTGTTGAACCTGTCATTTAATCCTCAATCACCTGTAATTTTTGCCTGTATTTATACCTGTTCTTGATTCATCCTCACCTGTCGCTGTACCTGTTCTTGATTCTGCCTCATCTATCACTGTACCTGTTCTTGATTCATCCTCACCTGTCGCTGTACCTGTTCTTGATTCTTCCTCACCTGTACATGTTCTTGGTTCTGCCCCATTTGTAGCTGTACCTGTTCTTGATTCTTCCTCACCTGTCGCTGTACCTGTTCTTGATTCTTCCTCATCTGTCGCTGTACCTGTTCTTGATTCTGCCTCATCTATCACTGTACCTGTTCTTGATTCTTCCTCACCTGTCGCTGTACCTGTTCTTGATTCTTCCGCACCTGTCGCTGTACCTGTTCTTGATTCTGCCTCATCTATCACTGTACCTGTTCTTGATTCTTCCTCATCTATCACTGTACCTGTACTATAATTCTCTCTCATATCTTGTCATCTTGCATTGGTGTTTGAATGCAGGTCCTGGGTCTTATCGTGTACCTGTACCTGTGGGAGTCAGGTAGTGGTGGTGATAGGTTGATACTGTGTGGTAGCTCCGTCAGGTATGTTCACAAGTAGTGTGGTCAAAAGAGGTCCAATCCTATCAGGTCCCAGCGTAAGGTAATCTAATCTGACTTCACCATTAGGACTGGAACACTTTCTATAGTCCTCATTTAACTCAGTACTGGTGGACTATGGTACAAATGAGTCATGATTTAATGGTTAGATTTAGTTAAAGGTTAGGTTAGGTTAGGTTAAATTTGATTATGTTTAGGTTAAGGTCTATTATAAGTGGAGTTCTTCTGATCTACGTCCTACTCACACATTCACCTGTAGAGAACAGGTAGACTCACCTAAGGTAGAATCCAGGTATACTAGAGGTAGACTCAACTGAGGTATACTCGAGGTAGACTCACCGGTGTAGTAGCTGGCGGTGGTGGCGCTCTGCCTATACTGCGTCTCCAGGTATTTTGGTTTAAAGTTCCAGTAGCCGGCCACACCAATCAAGTAGGTGGTGGTGTTAAAGAGGTTCCCTACCCAGATCTTATTGGTGAAGAGCCGCTTCAGTGCTTTCAGCAGGTCTGAGGAGACGAGAGTTATAACATGATAACACCTGGTAACTTAAGGAGCCTCAGTAGACCTTTTAATGACCAAAGTTATACCCAGATGAAAGATGTTAACTCACTCTTCATCGTGGGTTTCTCCTCTGTCTTCTTGTTCTTGACGAGGGAGGCGAAGTACTCCACCCCTCTCTGGCCTCCTCCGTCCTTATCGTCCTTATCCGCCTGGCGAACGATCTTCCTTGCCTCTCTCTTCAGCGTCTCCGGCAGTTTACGAGGGAATAGGAAAAGGAAATTACCCGTGAGGAGCAATCCGAAGCCGATGATGAGAAAGCCTGAAGAGGATGAAGAAATAGACAAAGTCACGTTATAGCTGTTCAGGTAGTTCAGTAAAAAAGTTCACCCTCACCACAGAACTTGACGCCACTCACACTAACTTGTCTTGCTGATGAATATATAAATCACGTATAAACACTGTAGTTGTTTCCAAAATTTAGCTGTGAAGACAACATACTACATACTGTAGATGTACTTCCCTACTTTCAGAGCAGTGACCGCTCCTCACACATGACACTGTCCGCACCAGTACAGAATCATGCGGTAGTGTGTGTGTGTGTGTGTGTGTGTGTGTGTGTGTGTGTGTGTGTGTGTGTGTGTGTAGGTCCTATTAGAGTAAAATACATAGACGAAGAACCACCATAAGCTAGAGACTCACCTATCCACCAAGCGCCGTACCAACGTGGGTCCTTTCTCGTAAGGTTAGGCTGCACGGACGGATCTATCCACAAAGACAGACACTTGCCACCCACGAAAAACCCGCATACAGGCCCCATGACCCTCAACATGAAGGCGAGGGCTGAAGGATAATAACACTTGACTTATAAGCTTGTTGACATATAATTCAGGATGAGGAATATAAACAAATACGAAAATAAATGTATGTGTAACGAATAGAAGAAGAAGAAGAAGAAGAAGAGATTAACTAATTTTTTAAGACTATAAAACAACAAAATGATAAAGAGAATGCGAAAGAGACAGAGAGGAAGGGGGTGGGGGTACTCACAGTAATACATAGGGTAGGTCTTCTTGCTAATGTTATCGTCCATGTAGGTAATACCGAGGCTGTAGAAGATGCTGAGGGTGATGCCAAAGAGGAACTGAGAGACGAAGAAGAGGATGAGAGGTCCATGAACGGCTCTCTGCTGTCCCGTCCGCTTCCGTCCTCACCACAGTTCTCCTCCGGCTGGAAGAAACACAGCTCCTCTTTCTCTGTCGGGGCGGAGAGAGGGATGAGTTGAGGGAGGCTGTCGGGACGGAGAGAGGGATGAGTTGAGGGAGGCTGTCGGAGCGGAGAAGGATGAGTTGAGGGAGGCTGTCGGGACGGAGAGAGGGGTAAGTTGAGGAGGCTGTCGGGACGAAGAGAGGGTGAGTTGAGGGAGGCTGTCGGGGCGGAGAGAGGGTAAGTTTAGGAGGATGTCGGGGCGAGAGGGATGAGTTGAGGAGGCTGTCGGGACGGAGAGAGGGGTGAGTTTGAGGCTGTCGGGGCGGAGAGAGGGGTGAGTTAAGGGAGGATGTCGGGGCGGAGAGGGATGAGTTGAGGGAGGCTGTCGGGGCGGAGAGGGATGAGTTGAGGGAGGCTGTCGGGGCGGAGAGAGGGATGATTTGAGGGAGGCTGTCGGAGCGGAGAGAGGGATGAGTTGAGGGAGGCTGTCGGGACGGAGAGAAAAAGAGAGGGGGGGGGATATTCAACTTAAAGTACATTTCAATCAATCGTTAAAGTCCTATCCATCCATCCATCTGTCTGTCTGTCTGTCTGTCTCTATCTATCTATCTATCTATCTATCTATCTATCTATCTATCTATCTATATCACAATGACTTCATCCCCAACCACACATTGTAGAGTAAACACAGACTCACAAGAAGATCCATAGATAACAACAACACCATCAGTCAGGACAGGTCAGGAGGTCAGGTCTTACTAGTGTGAGAAGTGAGGCTGGTGATGTTATCCAGTAGATCTGGAGTGGCACCAGCAGTGGCGGCGCGGGCGATGGCGAGAGCTTGTTCGCCAGGGCCATAGAGGAAGTGTGGGAGGGCGGCGGCGAAGCCAGATAGGGCAGCGAAGAATACCCCCATACCCACCCAGCGAGGCCGATGACCAAAGGTGCCATAGTAACCCAAGACGATGGATAAGATGATCTGTGACACGTCGTTGCCCGAGAGGATGGTACCTGGATGAATCAGTAGTGGTTACGTTAGGTTAGGTTGGGTTAGGTTAGATTAGGTTAGGTCTAGGTTAGGCTAGGTTAGGTTAGGTTAGATTAGGTTAGGTCTAGGTTAGGCTAGGTTATAACTGGGACTATATTGATCAGGGCCCATTTTGATTTGGGTCCACTATGACTAGGACCTATTATAACTAGGACCTATTATAACTAGGACCTATTATAACTAGGACCTATTATAACTAGGACCTATTATAACTAGGACCCATTATGTCTAGGAGCCCATTATAACTAGGACCCATTATACCTAGGACCCCATTATAACTAGGACCCATTATACCTAGGACCCATTATACCTAGGACCCATTATACCTAGGACCCCCATTATAACTAGGACCCATTATACCTAGGACCCATTATAACTAGGACCCATTATAACTAGGGACCCATTATGCCTTGAACCCCATTATAACTAGGACCCATTATAACTAGGACCCATTATACCTAGGACCCATTATACCTAGGACCCATTATAACTAGGACCCATTATAACTAGGACCCATTATGTCTAGGAGCCCATTATAACTAGGACCCATTATACCTAGGACCCCATTATAACTAGGACCCATTATGCCTTGAACCCCATTATAACTAGGACCCATTATACCTAGGACCCATTATACCTAGGACCCATTATACCTAGGACCCATTATACCTAGGACCCATTATGCCTAGAAACCCATTATACCTAGGACCCATTATACCTAGGACCCCCATTATAACTAGGACCCATTATACCTAGGACCCATTATACCTAGGACCCATTATACCTAGGACCCCCATTATAACTAGGACCCATTATGCCTAGAAACCCATTATAACTAGGACCCATTATACCTAGGACCCATTATAACCAGGTCCTAAGCCCGTGATGTAAAGTACAGTAGACTAACCACGTACAGTAAAGTAAACTAACCTGTTTCTTTGCTGGTAAACTTAAATCTCTTCTCGATGGTAGACAACACAGACACCATGTAGGTAAAGAAGATGCCTTGAGTCAACCCCACCACACTGAACACTATCATGTACACCTCCTTCTTCGCCATGCACTGTACACACCAGAAATAATGTACATAAGTATCGATGCTTTACAGTTGTTCTATCTATATATCTATCTATCTATCTATCTATCTATCTATCTCTGTCTATCTATCTATCTCTGTCTATCTATCTATCGTTTCTCCTTCCACGCCAGCCATTTTGCAAACAAGAAAGATGTATGAACAATCTCTGGCACTTTATCTCACAAACGGAGAGAAAGAAGATATTTGTCACTCCACTATCTCGCGGTAAATAACGTCAAGAAAGAATCTCTCACTCTATTATCTCACAATCAAGAGACTAAGGGAAGTCTTTAACGACAGGATCTTTAAAACAAGAGATAAATCAACTCTCTCTCTCTCTCTCTCTCTCTCTCTCTTTCCAATAAACTCACAAAGAGATAAATAATTCTTCCACGCCACCACTATCTCTCAAACTAAGAGCTAAATACACTTTTCTTTATCTCACACGCACAAACGAAGTCCCTCGCGCCATTATCTCACAAACAGAGAGATACAAGATGAGTTTCTTATATCTCGCCAACAGAGAGACAATAGAACTCGTGGTCACTCACCTGGAGCCATTGAGGTTTAAAGGAGCCTATGCCACATTTGGTGTCCTCGATGTCTGCCTCTTCATGAAGGAATGTCCTGGCCTCGTCCTCCCGCGAGACCTGGCGAAGTTCTCCCTTCTCGGGCGCCATTTGTGTTCTCGTCTGGCTGCTTACTCTTCCCTGTGTATAAAGGATATAAACACTGAAATATGTTTACGCCTCTACCTGTGAAGGCTAAGTGTATGTATGTATGTATGTATGTATGTATGTATGTATGTATGTATGTATGTATGTATGTATGTAAGGATTGGTAGAATACAGAAACTAAGTATTCGAATACAAGCAAACACGCATAATTTTCCGTACGTATGTATATTTAAAAGTATACATAAATACAATTATTAATACTATGGTGAGTGAAATAAGTAAACATCAGTACCAGGAGGTGAGGATGATAGTGAGGATGGTAGTGAGGATGGTGAGGGTGGTAGTGAGGATGATAGTGAGGATGGTAGTGAGGATGGTGAGGGTGGTAGTGAGGATGGTGAGGGTGGTAGTGAGGATGGTGAGGGTGGGTATGGTGAGGGTGGTAGGAGGATGGTGAGGGTGGTAGTGAGGATGGTGAGGGTGGTAGTGAGGATGGTGAGTAAGGATGAGGGTGAGGATGGTGGTGAGGATGGTGAGGTAGTGGTGAGGGTGGTAGTGAGGATGGTGAGGGTGGTAGTGAGGATGGTGAGGGTGGTAGTGAGGATGGTGAGGGTGGTAGTGAGGATGGTGAGGGTGGTAGTGAGGATGGTGAGGGTGGTAGTGCTCTAAGATCACTCAGTAATGCATTCAGTTTATACATCCAGAATGTTATATATAATTCTTGCTACTGATGCGATAATACATGATCATGTCAGTCACTCACAAGGTCTGACATGGATGAAGACATATTACGTCAATCACCTGTCAGTCATATGTTTCGTCTCTCAGGTGTGTTAAAAGTAAAAGTGGATCTCGTGAAGATAAGACACGACTTCAGTTTTGGTGATCTTAAGGTTAACCACCCTAACGCTAAATTAGCCTAGCCTAACCTAACCTAACCTAACCTAACCTAACCACCCTAACGCTAAATTAGCCTAGCCTAACCTAAACTTCCCCAGGTAGTGTTAGGGTGTTTAATCATCAGGTGACATAAGTTAGGGTAGCTAGTCTTCAGATGATCCGGCTAAGGTTATGTGAACATTAAAAAAGTGGTCCCCTACAGTGAATCAAGTCACATTACCTGTATAGGAGTAGAGGTGGGATACTGCACCGAATTCCCGTTTGAGGTTGTAGCAGCAGGAACAGCGGCTGCAGAGGGAACAGGGAGCAGTAAGAACAAAGGCAGCAGTACGAATAGAGGCAACAGTTGGACAGCTGCTGGAATAGAGTCAGCAGCAAGAACAGAGGCAGCAGCAGCAGTAAGCCGCAGCAGTCCTATCAGTTGTGCGGTGCTGGCGGGAGGTAGAGTGGCATTGATGAGGGTCGAGATGCGGTGTCCTGCCCACCACCCATCATCTTAACACATCATGACAAGTCGTTCCTTACATAAGCTGTCGCCAAAGTCTCTCTCAAGCGTTAATCCATTTTATAATACACCTTAATGAATCTTCTGTGCGGCTCTTTGTATAAGTAACTTAAAGCCATTATTTATTTATCAATTTCCTCATGTTAGTTTTTCCACCTTGTTATTCGGGTGGTGGGGTGTGACTGGAACCACACACACACACACACACACACACACAAAAGGCGTCAACAACATACAAGGCTACTGTCTCAACACACGTCCTCACCATCAGATTTATCTAGGCCATAGCCGCAAAATATCCCGACTAAGGCGCCAACTCACGCCGAGTGATGTTTTTTTCAAGGGCATGAGTTTGACCTCCTCTTAAGCCGCAAATCCTGGCAGATCTGGAGGCTGCCATGTCCGGTATATATTTTATCAGGTATGAACACTGTAGCCCCAGATGTTCTTCGGTTATGTTGTCAACGAACATTCAATAATGTTAACAAACGCGACACTGACCGCCCTACCCTTGTTAGACACACATCAGTGACCTTTAGTTATTGGACCATGACCTACTACTGTCACCATTACACTGGGTCTCGTCCACCTATTGTACTCTACGGCACAAAGTACTGACGGTAAATATAGCAACTTCTACTTCATTAAATTATTTGACAGCAAAATAATGTAGGAATTATTAAAGTCTTATTTTCCATTTACGAATGTTACTTTCTTCGATTTTCTTTTCAGGGTTTTGTGTTTCTCATCAACCATTTCAAAAGCTTTAATTCGTTTAATATTTTATCAAAACATTTCGTTTAACAGCTTTGGTTTACGTAACAATTACCATGATGCTGAAAATCTTATGTCTACTTTCACAGACCTCTCTCTCTCTCTCTCTCTCTCTCTCTCTCTCTCTCTCTCTCTCTCTCTCTCTCTCTCTCTCTCTCTCTCTCTCTCTCTCTTGTCATTCTTTCCTTCTTTCTCTTATTGTTTGCGTGTCTGTCTCTTATAAACAGACACTAACCAGCCTCAAAAAGGCCGTCGAAGGAGTGTAACGGAACCCCTGACGCTCGCTGGCATAAAGTACTGTATTCTGATTGTCCTTTGCCACTGTGGCCTCTGATCTTATCTAATGTAACTGAACCTTATAAACACCATGCCAAATTTAACTAATCCTGAAATAACGTTACTTGAGCAAATCCTGGACAGCTAGTAGTGACGTCATGGTGTGTGAGGACCAATCAAAATACACGGAGCCTGGGTTATGTTGCGTAACTTTTTGGAAAACACCCAAAGACGAATTCTGATTGGCTAATATAGATAAAACGAGTATGAGTATTGTACAGTCTATGAATAAGTGACGCACGTGATCTAGTGACGTAAAGGTGAATAATTACATTATCGTACCAACGGTCTACAGCGTCAGTGACTTGAACTAATTTGTTGTGGTTGCCCTCCATGCCTGTCAGTGGTTATGCAAGCTTGGTGATGATTGGTTGGTTATCTGATTATATTTTTGGTTTTCTTGAAAGGTTGGTTCTGATTGGCCGACAACATTTGTGTCGCTGTATATCCGACACATTACAGTATGTCAAAGAAATCCATTTTGCTGGCACAGCTTACTGTGGTTTACTTTTTTGCTTACTTAACCTTACTTTTCTTCTTAGTTGTAAGTAGTTTATTCTACCCTACTTATCCAGGAAAAGATTTGATCAGCATTGGTGATGCATTATTTACTTTAATTTATCCTCTTCGCCACTGATCGGCCTACTAGCCGTTTGGGCGGTCGGTCATGTCTCTGTTACACGCTGTGGCAAGTACTGGGCATGCACCGGCTCCTCAATGTATCTGTACATGCGCCAGTGTTGGTCAAGTCTTGAGTCTGGTCTTGAAAGAGCTCACACTTAGTGTCATCACAACACTCTCTAGCAGGTTGTTCCAAGAGCTCCCACTCTCACTCCAAAAAAGTTTATCCTGATAGTTTTCTGAACTTGTGTCTTCTTCAACCTTAAGCTGTGACCACTTCTGGGGCGGGTATCAGCCATTTCCAGGTATGAATACTCGACTGATTAATTTATATGCTTCTATTAAGTCCCCCCCCCCCCCTTGCCTGTTTGTAGTATAAGCTAGGCCACTGTTGGCGTTCTAGAGGGTACCTCGGGTGCCGTAGTGAAGGCACCAGTCGGGTGGACTTCCTTTGGACATTTTCAATCAACTGACAGTCTCTCGCATATCTTAGGGACCCAAAAGGGCGACAGCACTCCAAACGGAGAAGTACCTCACTTTTGAAGAGCATTGTGAGTATGTCTGAACGCCCTTCTTAAAAGATCTGATAGTTTAGTTGCTTGATTCACCTTCTTCTCACAATGGTCTGAGAACTTCAGTTCGTTGTCAGCATACACACCCAGGTCTTTTTCACATTTGGTCTCAGTTAATGTTGTTTCTTCGTCCTGTTGGGACATGTGATACGCCTCCTTACTGTTGGTTCGACTTGTTATTTATGTCGTTTTTCAATCAACCTTGCGTGTTTTCAAATAACTTTGACACAACCAGACACAAAAAAGGTTGTGGATAAAGAAAATGGAGAGATCATCCACATTAACAATAATCATGGGCTTTGTGTTCAAATAAATTTGCTTTAAGTCAGAGGTTGTGAACCTTTTTCAGCTTAATTCTCAATTACTTCATCTCTACGGGTCTTGTCACTCACCACCGTGCCAGTCCAGCCTCTATCAAACTGGGTTAGGTACCAAGACACCTGACCGGAACCTAATTTACATTTTCCCTTACTTGGCAATGGGAGAATTGCCTAATTCCCAAATTACCCATGGGTTAAGAGCCACTGATCTATTGGAACTACCTTTGTTTTGAGCACATTTCACGATGTGATACAATTTTGCTCGAAATTTTTGTGCCATGGTTACATGGACTTTGTGCTCGGTGTGTCGGTGATGCAAACCTCAGAAACCTTTCTCTTCATTTTGAAGAGGAACCATTACTACTGGGATGACTTTATTTATAGTCAATATTATATCACTTGGCTGGCCTGCTGCTCTTACCTGCATGGTTGGCACCCTCGCTCGTCCAGTGTTGCTGTCTCAGGATGTTCACTACAGTATTTATCTTCCACGTTATTATTTTATTTTTTTTAGCTTCCCTCATCCGGCTGTTGTTATCACCATGTGCTTACTTTAATGAGCGGGATCATCGCCACACTGGTTTTCCTGTGAATGGTGGATCATATACACTATCACAGTCCTTAGTGCACTATCTCCACTAGCCCCTTCATTAGCCCCTTTACTGGATTTTTATATATATCTATTGTGGTACCATTTTTTTTTCATTTAACTTATTTTCAAGTTTTCCCAGCAATCACTGACGTCACTATTGTCTGCCTCTTATAGACTCACACTGCACTCTGTCGTGGTAGACTTGTCACCGCCACATTCATTCACGGTGACTTTTAAGTAATTACGATTCAAGCTTATAAGGAAAAAAATGAAGAGATAAATCAATAAATATTTAATGAGTGTAAATATACTTTAACACTTTCCTTTTTTCTACTTTACTTCTTTTCTTTTCTTTTTTTTATCCATTTTTCCATTGTTTGTGTTTGTTTTTTAGTTTCATTTTATTATTATTATTATTATTATTATTATTATTATTATTATTATTATTATTATTACAGTATTATTATTATTATTATTGTTATTGTTATTATTATTATATTATTATTATTATTATTATTATTATTATTATTATTATTATTATTATTATTATTATTATTATTATTATTATTATTATTATTATTACAAAAGTAAAAATAAAACACCAACATTCAACACGTAAATGTTTATTAAACTTTACAATATAACACAACTCTTAAACATTGGTACTTTATAAACATTTTTACAAGTCTTGTACTGAATTAAGGTGACAGATTAGCTGAGTCCCTCTCCTTCAACATTAGGATTTGGTCCCTTTAAGATTGGAAGTCATTATGATTGGAACCTGTAAAAAGGACTGGGGCCTATTATGACACCTCAGCTGATGAATTGGGGCCTATTTTACCCATCACTACTAATATAAACTACTACTATATACATCCTTACAATACAAATGGATTTAAGACACTAGACTCTGTGATTCAAACTTAACCCTGAACACACTCGTAGCTACTTGGCCTAAAATGAATCTTTATCCTAACTAATAAACCATTCTGGAAACTAAGGTAACAACATGGCGGTGAAGTAATAGTGTTAAATCTATCCTAAGGACTCAAGGTTTATATCGATTTCAGGAGACATAGTATTGAGAAACATCTACTAGGAGAATTCTTGTTGCTTTTGAGGGATGAAATCTTCCTCGTTATGAGGGTTAAGGGGTTCCGGTTCCTCTGTGTTCATTTCCTTCTTCTCCAGTTCGACTTCGTCTTCCTTATCACCGTACAGGTCCAGCTGCCGACTGTAGTAGAACACGACCAGGTCCCCGAACACCGAGATGAACGTAAACACTGTAAAAGTAGATGTCTCCCTTTAACATACTATTGTCATTAGTGTACTACTACTACTATTTTATTTATTACTTTTTTATTTTTTTTGAATGGCCTCCAGCCTCCCCCAATAGCCACACCTTCGCCACCATTTATTTACTTTAATATTAAATATCCTAATACATAATAAGCTATCCTATCTGTGTTAAATTAGTTGAGCCGCAGATCTATGCGGCATTCGGTGACTGTAGCCTCATAGTCAATATCTGCAGCAGTTGTCGGAGTAGGGGCAGAAGCTCTCGTTCCCCTGAGGCAGAGCAAAGCCGACCGAAGGAGAGAGAAGGACAGTCGACATCTCATCCAGGCTGTAACATAACTTCTGGGCTGCTGCTTCTGTTCGGAGATCAACTCCGCGAGTCTGGCGTAGAAACATCTTGCACTTGGGCCCATCCCACCAGAGGTTGTGAACACTAGAGGAGTGAAGCTGCCTTGATCAACGTTTTGAATTCTCTCCCCATACGCCCTTCTCTTGTCGTTCTCGTTCCTCCTATGTGCAGCATCGAGAGCTAGGTTACGGTGACAAGTGGCCATGGGATCAAAAATCCTGATGTCGAAGAAAGCTCGCTGTCCCCGCGTCCAGAATCCTCGAGCACTGACGTCCACACGGGCTTCGTTAGATGTGTTTGAAGTCCTGTGTTGGAAGATCTCACCATCCAGTGGAAGGAGGGTCGGTTCTACCATGACGTCCCGGCAGATTTCCTTCAACATATTTGCTGTGAGATCCCTTACCTCGTCATGCCTCATGCAAATGAAGCCCCCCTTCTTGCAGACCATGGCGTGATCGCCGTCATAGGAAGAGCCACACACGCATTGGGAGGGCAAACCATCCACTGGCCAACCGTACCTTAGAGCAATGGCATCTGTAAATTCTTGTTTGTTAAGGCTGAAACCATTTGCCCTTATCGGTAACGTAGTTAACCAGTTCGAGGCGCCCACCTCCTGCGCTATAGCTACTTTTTTTGTCAAATTTTCTGGAACCTGCAGCAATAGTTGCTGCAACATGTCATTTTGGCAGTGCTGCCGATCTGTTGTAATGGCCCTACGGATCTTATTTACTACTACTACTACTACTACTACTACTACTACTACTGCAGGTGAATAATTAATTAACAGGTGTGGGAAGTTATCTTGATATAGGGAACATACAGGTGTGTACATACCTGCAGGTACCAGGTGTATAATGGTCCTGAACTTGTCCGAGTCGTAGAGCCAACAGTTGCCATACACCCCACATGACTTATCCCACACCAGGCACGACGAGTCTGTGGGTACAACACATGTGTACAGTACGACCATGACACGTGTACGACCATAACATATTTACGACCATGACATGTGCACGACTATGACATGTGTACGACAATAACACGTGTACGACTATGACACGTGTACGACTATGACATATTTACGACCATGACATGTGCACGACTATGACATGTGTACGACAATAACACGTGCACGGCTATGACACGTGTACGACTATGACACATGTTCGACCATGACACATGTTCGACCATGACATGTGTACGACAATAACACGTGCACGGCTATGACACGTGTACGACTATGACACATGTTCGACTATGACACATGTTCGACCATGACATGTGTACGACCATGACACATGTTCGACCATGACATGTGTACGACAATGCAGCAATGAGGAATTGTGATGCGTAGTTGTTCAGTGTCACAAAATATGTTTTTGCAATATACAAAGACAATATTACGTTCCACGGACGTGCTTGGCGACCTGTGTTTGTTTATCTCGTCACCACGCCACCAGAGGGACACAAGGCAGATGGCTGACAGAAGACAGATGGCTGACGCAAGACAGATGGATGACACAAGACAGATGGCTGACGCAAGACAGATGGATGACACAAGACAGATAACAAGCACAACACAGATGGCTTACACAACACATATGGCTAACGCAAGACAGATGACGAATACTAGACAGATGGCTGATGCAAGACATATGGCTAATACTAGACAAATGGCTGATAAGACAGATGGTTAACACAAGACAGATGGTTAATACTAGACAAATGGCTGATAAGACAGATGGTTAACACAAGACAGATGACTAACACAAGACATATGGCTAATACTAGACAAATGGCTGATAAGACAGATGGTTAACACAAGACAGATGGCTAATACTAGACAAATGGCTGATAAGACAGATGGTTAACACAAGACAGATGGTTAATACTAGACAGATGGCTAATAAGACAGATGGTTAACACAAGACAGATGACTGACACAAGACAGATGGCTGACACAAGACATATGGCTAATACTAGACAAATGGCTGATAAGACAGATGGTTAACACAAGACAGATGGTTAATACTAGACAGATGGCTAATAAGACAGATGGTTAACACAAGACAGATGACTGACACAAGACAGATGACTGACACAAGACAGATGACACACAAGACAGATGGCTGACACAAGATAGATGGCTGACACAAGACAGATGACACACAAGACAGATGGCTGACACAAGATAGATGGCTGACACAAGACAGATGACACACAAGACAGATGGCTGACACAAGACAGATGACTGACACAAGACAGATGGCTGACACAAGACAGATGACACACAAGACAGATGGCTGACACAAGACAGATGACTGACACAAGACAGATGGCTGACACAAGACAGATGACACACAAGACAGATGGCTGACACAAGACAGATGACACACAAGACAGATGGTTGACACAAGATAGATGGCTGACACAAGACAGATGACACACAAGACAGATGGCTGACACAAGATAGATGGCTGACACAAGACAGATGACACACAAGACAGATGGCTGACACAGACAGATGGCTGACACAAGACAGAGACAGATGACACACAAGACAGATGGCTGACACAAGACAGATGACACACAAGACAGATGGCTGACACAAGATAGATGGCTAACACAAGATAGATGACACACAAGACAGATGGCTGACACAAGACAGATGGCTGATGCAAGACAGATGGCTGACACAAGATAGATGACCTTTTAGTTCTAAAACCCTTCTCGCCTATAATTCCTCCCCACTTACCTATAATTTCTTCCCATTCATCTATAATTCCCCCCTCCCCACTTACCTATAATTCCACCCCAATTATCTATAATTCCTCCCCACTTACCTATAATTCCACCCCAATTATCTATAATTCCTCCCCACTTACCTATAATTCCACCCCAATTATCTATAATTCCTCCCCACTTACCTATTAATTCCTCCCCACTTACCTATAATTCCTCCCCACTTACCTATTATTCCTCCCCACTTACCTATAATTCCTCCCCAGTTACCTATTATTCCTCCCCACTTACCTATAATTCCTCCCCACTTACCTATTATTCCTCCCCACTTACCTATAATTCCTCCCCACTTACCTATTATTCCTCCCCACTTACCTATAATTCCTCCCCATTCATCTATAACCCCCCCCCCTACTTACCTATAATGGCTCCCATGATTATAGGTGCTGGGATGAAGCCGAAGAAGCTAATGAAGACAGTTAAGGTGCCTAAAGCCAGACCCTTGTCTTCATCTGCCACTGACCTGACGAAGACAACAACACACACACACCATTTACCTGTCAGTGTGATCTTATGACTCTGAACTTATGACCTGATATATGACTTTGAACTTATGAACTGATCATATACATATGACTTTGACTTTGAACTTATGACCTGATATATGACTTTGAACTTATGACCTGATCTTATATTTATAACTTTGAACTTATGTCTTTAAAATACAGACGAAAATCTCTCTTAAATCTGATTATGGATAATTATATAGACTTCGGGAATTACTATAGTTTATAAAATATGACTTAAAATCTGAATAAAAAAAATCTGGGTTAAAAATCTGACTTACCTGAGGTGGATGACACTACTGCCGACCCTACCAGTAGATGACACTGTCTTGATGATGATCTGGATGATGAGGTAGTAGAAGAAAGTGTCACACGGCTCCGGACAGTACCCACTAGTACCGTATCCATTCGCGTCGTTGGACTGAAAACGAAATCCCTGACAGACACTGAACCAAAAGTAAACAGTACAATGATCTATGGAAAAGCACAATGAAAACCTCCATATAACGGACTTTTATCTCCATATAATCCGTTAATTGGGGTATCACTTCTAATGGATTCTCGATATAACGGACTTTCATCTCTATTTGGTTCGTTAGATGGAGGTTTCACATCTAACGGCCCTCGATATAACGGACTTTCATCTCTATATTGTCCGTTAAATAGAGATTTCACTATACAAACAATAGTTAACTTGAAATTCTTCGATAGAGCCGCCGTGAACGGGGTCAAATCAGGTAGGTAATAAAGTAACCTAATAATTTATAGATGAAGGAAATATCCAGGTGTTTAGTGCACTATATGTTACCTGGTTTAGTGGTGGACTGGAGGCGGTGAGTGAGTCTAACAGTGGAGGAGAAGAGATGTTGCTGGGGATACATTGGCAGCCACTGAACACCTGTAGTGATAAAAGCTCAACAGAGAGGGTGTAGGGGAGACGAATGATAAGAGACGAACAACAACAACTTCATTATAAAAATCATAATACGTGGTTTGAATAATAACAAAAAGATGTCAAAATTTCAAGGACGATCATCCATACAATTTAAAAAAAACTGGTTAAAATATTAATAAAAAAAAACTTGAGAATTAATCAAATTTCTTTCATATCTTAATTAAAATATGTTACCAAACACTTAATTACACTTGAGTGAAAATACGATAACATTATGATAGGTTTCAAAAGTTATATCTGACACGTGTGATGAAGGGGACACTGTCATATTGATATAATTTCCATACAGTACATGTTAGTTCATTCTATACAACTAAGTTATCATGTTAACACCTACTATACACCTGTCACGTTAACACCGACTATACACCTGTCACGTTAACACCTATTATACACCTGTCACGTTAACACCGACTATACACCTGTCACGTTAACACCTACTATAAAACACCTACTATACACCTGTCACGTTAACACCGACTATACACCTGTCACGTTAACACCTACTATACACCTGTCACGTTAACAACCTACTATACACCTGTCACGTTAACACCTACTATACACCTGTCACGTTAACACCTACTATAGTACTGTCATGCTGTAGAACTCACTATGGGACTGGCGGAGGTGTTGGCCTTGGTGCAGCCGGCGTAACAAGGGGAGTAGAAGACAGTGACTTGATCTTCAGCACACATAGGGGAGAACCTGTCAGAACACCCACAGTCCGCTGAACAATCCGGCACCGTCGACCTATACACGGAGAAGGTTGTCTGACACTCTGATTGGTGGGGAATGTTAGGGAGTTGATGCTGATTGGTGGGGAATGTTAGGGAGTTGATGCTGATTGGTGGGGAATGTTAGGGAGTTGATGCTGATTGGTGGGGAATGTTAGGAAATTGTTGCTGATTGGTGGAAAATGCTAGGGAGTTGATGCTGATTGGTGGAGAATGTCAGGTAATTGATGCTGATTGGTTGGAAAAAGTTTCGTAAGGTTAGGTTAGGTGGGTGATTGCAACGTTTCGGGAGACACAGAAGTGAGAAAAAATACAGAGGAGCAAGAAGATGAAAGGAGGAGCAAGAGCAAGAGGAGGAGGAGGAGGAGGAGATGATGGTGCAAGAAGGAGAAGAACAACAACAGCATCATCATAGCAAAAACAATAACAATGTACCACCACTACAGCAACAACAATAGATAAACAAATCAACAATCACAAGGAAAACAATATAACCCCCTCCCCCCCCACACACAAGAAAGCAACGTGGAACTAAGCTAAAATCATCTAACTTCCGCAAAACATTTTAAATCAATGTCTTGTCTCCTAACACTGTCACCTTCACGCTGAACAGATGACTGTCTTGCCTGAGCACGAACACATTATACACCATGGTAAACGGGGCATGATCGGGCATAATGGGGCATGTTGGGGCATATTAAGGGCGTAGTTTCCAGTGTGACGTATTATATAATGAAGAATATACATAACGTTACTGTATTAAAATTTATGTAAAGGTGATTTGTATACATGTGTTAGTACTAAGACTATACAATATTATCTATATGTGGCCTCGTGTGGATTTATTTCTCGCGTTAAGGTTTGTGTACATGTATATTTTCTCTACATTTGTACAGTAGCTAAAACAACTATCTGTGCAGGGGGGGGTCGACATGCTCTGAAATTTTACGTGTGACTAGTGACAGTTTTCATATACCAATATTTATCGTCTATGGTCTCATATTGTTTCCCACAAAGTTATGCACAGATAGTTGTTTTAGCTACTGCATACTGTACGTCTGTTTGTCTTAGCATTATTTTTCTTTTAATTTTGTGAGTTTATTATTTTAGATTTTTTCTGTCAGTTAATTTATTACCCCTTTGTTTTGGTTCCGATTTTGGATTTATTAATTTTTTGTGTTAGTTAATATTCAGTTCTTTGTTTTTTTTTTTTAAATTATCCACATGTGACTTTGTCCCTTAAGTCTCTGCTCTGGGGAAGAGGTAAGTGTTGTTCCCAGACGTCAGTTGAGTGTGTGTATGTATTTCCCTTCTTTAGTCATTGTCTTATTTTCCTCAGTTTACGTAAGTTTAGCTTATTGGAATTTTATCACATTCTCTTCTGCTTCCTTGTTCACACTTGTTTTTATTTTATAAATTTCGTTCATTGCGGAAATTTACATGAAGAGAGAGAGAGTTAACTCACCCATCAACAGGTCCCACAATGGTCAACTTAGGGCAGCCAATGAACATGAGGACGATAAACCCGGCGGTCAGGAACAAGGTCACGAAGATGTTGTACCCGGCCACGAACCTCGGCTTGGGACGTATCCACCTCAAAACGGCTCCGCCCACACCCGTACCCAGCACCACCGACGAGAAGCTGGCCATACCTAGGATGATAAAATGATTACAAGAGCTTTAGGAGATATGAGAGTACCGTAACGATGTACTGAACTGGATGATTATAATGGTTTACTGTATGATGAATAAAATGGTATACAGTGAACGAGGGGTATGATAATAATGTAACACTATGATGATGAGGATGATTGTGATGAGTGAATAATCATACCTGGACAGTTATGTGGGACGTATACTGTAGAGGAAGAATGTTGGGATGATGAATCACTCCGCCATGGAGGATGATCATGATGATGCAATGTCATGAAAAAGAGGTGAAAGGATGATTGTGGATCATTAGTTACTATACATTACTCATGAGAGCTCATCGTTATTCAACATTATTCATCATTACTCAACATGATACAGACCCGTATAGTAGTTGGCCTCGGTAGCACTTTTTCGAAACTGGTTCTCAAGATATTTTGGCTTGAAGTTCCAGTAGCCAGAGAGAGCGAGCACTATGGTGACGGTGTTGAAGAGGTTCCCCACCCAGAGCTTGTTGGTGAAGAGCCGTTTGAACGCCTTCTTCAGGTCTGCCGTGATGAGAGGTGTGATATACATGTGTTATAAATGATACATAATGGATCACAGGAAGATTTAGACACCCCTAGTTTATTCTATCATAAGAAGGTATGAACACAGAGGAGGTGACTCACTACTGAGGGTGGGTTTATACTCTATCTTCTTGGTCTTGGCCAGCGAGGCAAAGTACTCGACCCCTCTCCTGCCCCCAGCCTCCTTGTCCTTCTCCACCTGACGAAGCACCCTCTTCGCCTCCCTCCTCATCGACCCCGGCATCGTACGAGGGAACAGGAACAGCAGAGTACCCGCGAAGAACAAACCGCACCCGATGAACAGGCTCCCTGTGTGGGTGAGCGAGGGAGGAAGGAGATCATTATTGATACTTATGCCTGAGGTCGTCTGTGTAAAGTGGTCAGTACCGCATATATATATATATATATATATATATATATATATATATATATATATATATATATATATATATATATATATATATATATATATATATATATATATATATATATATATATATATATCATGTAGATCCTGGATAAGATAAATCTTGATAAAATCACACGGGAAAATGGAAACAACGGAGCACCTTAGCTTTCGTCTTTATTCAAGACATCTGAAGATGTCTTGAATAAAGACGAAAGCTAACATTCCCTATATATATATATATATATATATATTCGCCATGAGTTTTGTACCTGTGACACCTACATTGTAGGATAACCTCTCTCTCTCTCTCTCTCTCTCTCTCTCTCTCTCTCTCTCTCTCTTTCACACACACACACACACACACACACAAATTGGATTTATTTATGTACATATTGACATACACTTTCCTTTTGAAATTAACATTAAATTTCCTTTTGACAGGTGGTGGACATCCGTGAGTTCACCTGGCGTGCCACTCTGCCTTGTTGATTAAAGACACTATAACGTAAACAAGGTGAGTAGTATTAACAAGCACTGTTAAGTAGTTTGTGCTCACCTAGTTTTTTGATTGACCAAGAAGTTGACAGGATGTAAAATAATGGTAAAGTACTGTAATGCAGGTTAGGTTAGATTAGGTTAAGGTTGGGTTACGTTTAAGTTAGGTTAGATTTAATTAGTTTAGGTTAGGATGACACATGAAAGCAAAGGAAACCAACATCCAAAACTATCATGGTGTTATACTGACGGAAACCCAACTGTACATGTGCCGCCTTTACTCACCCAGCCACCAGGCACCCAGCCAGCGCGGGTCCATCCTGGTGAGGTTGGGGCTCTGGGTGGGGTCTATCCAGAGGGAGAGGCACTTACCCCCCACCAGGTAGCCTAGCACTGGCCCCAGGATCCTCAACAGCAGTGTGATGGCTGTAGAGGAGGAAGGATAACTGTCTTGAGGAAGTAACAGATTATTTTACACGACTTAACGCGACTATTCACCTTGAAAGAATGAAAAAAAAAATTATAAGAAGGAAAAGACGGCAGATTTCAAGGCTATGGAATACGAAAATAATTAATGAAGGAGAGGAAAAGGAAGACGGAAAGATAAAGAAAATATAATTAAAAGAAGAAACGTGACTCACAATAATAGATTGGATAGGACTTCTTGCTAACGTTGTCGTCCATGTAAGTGACTCCGATGGTGTAGAAGATGCTGATGGCGATACCCACGATGAACTGTGAGATGAACAGGAGGATGACAGGACCTATGTAACCCCCGCTGATGTCTGAATCCACACAGGTGTCCTCAAACTCAGAGTAACACACCTCTGTCTTCTCTGAAAGTTGACGACACCAGATAAAATAATGCGAACATTCTCAACAAGATCCACATACCAAAGAAAAATATAATGAACGCTGTAACCTGCTTGGGCAGAAACATATTGTTCGTCATTTTTTTCTAATAATATTTCATGGTAAATAATTTTGAAGTCAGAATTAGCAAAAAATATTCATAGTGCAGTACAAATTTATGACGGGTCTTCATGTATACAAATTACGTAGAATATATGTGAGGGTCGTCCTAGTCCTTAAAAGATATGGATTCGTCAGAACTGGGAGGGGGGACCTATTGCGAAAAAAACACCCATACTTGACTGGGGACAAACACCTACTGGCTTTCTTAGTTGAGTTAGAGATGACGGAGTTGACCAGGCCTGTGGTAGTTTCAACGATGTCTGCAGCGTCTTGGCCAGGCCCGTAGATAAAGTGGGGGGTGGCGCCGATGAAACACGATACCGCAGCACACATCACCCCAAAGGCCATCCACCGAGGACGATGACCGTAGTTGCCATAGTAAGCTAACAATATCGCCAAGATCACCTGAGAGATGTCGTTGCCGGAGAGAATTGTACCTGTTGGGGAGATTACCATGATGACGGGATGTTGGGATAGGTTACCATGACGACGGGATGCTGGGATAAGTTACCATGACGACGGGATGTTAATGGTGATAAATTTGATAAAACCGATGGTGATAACAGCATAAATAATAATGATGATAGTTATAATTATAATAACAGTAATATTAATAACTGCTATAATGTCTTAACAAAAAGGCCCACCTGTCATAACCGCCCACCTGTCATTACCACACCTGCCATAACCACCCACCTATCATTACCACACCTGTCATTACGACACCTGTCATAACCACACACCTGTCATTATCACCCACCTATCATTACCACACCTGTCATTACCACCCACCTGTCATTACCACCCACCTATCATTACCACACCTGTCATTACCACCCACCTATCATTACCATACCTGTCATTACCACACCTGCCATAACCACCACTATCATTACCACCTGTCTTTCACCTGTCATTTTTATAATCATGCCTATCATTACCTCCCCTATCATTACACACCTGTCATTACAGGCTGTCATTACCAAACCTGTGGGCACACACTATCATTACCACCTGTCATTACCACCTGCCATAACCACCACCTATCATTACACTGTCATTACCACACTGTAGCCCACCACACCTGTCATTACCCACCTATCATTACCACACCTGTCATTACCACCTGTCATTACCACCCACACCTATGTTTCACCACACCTGTCATACCACCTAACATTACCCACCTATAATTACACTGTGTTAAACCTGTCATTACCGCCTGTCATTACCACCTAACCATTACCACCTGTCATTACCACCTGCCATAACCACCACCTATCGTACCACACCTGTCGGTACACACCTGCCACGCTTTCCTATCATTACCTGTCGTACACCCACCTAACATTACGCCTGTCGTACCACCTGTCATTACCACCCACTATCATTCACCTGTCATTTACACCACCTATGTTACCACACCTATGTCATTACCACCTATCAGTACCACTGTCATTACAAACCTGTCATTACCAAACCTGTCATTACTACACCTATCATTACCACACCTGTATTACCACCTGTAACCACCCACTATCATTGCCACCACCTTATAATTACCCACCCATCATTACCCACCTGTCATTACCCACCCTATCATTACCACCTGGCATGTTCCACCTGTCATTCATTACCTATCATTACCTGTGTTCAAACTGTATCATTACACCTATCATTACCAAACCCATATAACCGCCCCTGCCATATACCCACCCTATCATTACCACACCTGCCATTACACCTGTCATTACAAACCTGTCATTACAAACCTGTCATTACCACCTATCATTACCACCTGTCATTACCCACCTGCAACCACCTATCACTACCAAACTTGTTACCACCTATCATTACCAAACCTGTCATAACCGCCCACCTGCCATAACCACCCACCTATCATTACCACACCTGCCATTACCACACCTGTCATTACCACACCTGTCATTACCACACCTGTCATTACCACCCACCTGTCTGCTTGCTGGTAAGTTTAAAACGCTTCTCGATGGTAGATATAGTGGAGACGTTGTATGTGTAGAACATGCCGAGGGTGAGGCCTACCATACAATATACTACCAGGTAGGCCTCCTTCCTCGCCAGGACCTGTAGAGAGAGAGAGAGAGAGAGAGAGAGAGTTTTAGTTAAGAATTACTATACATCAGAAAATATCAGGACCTGTGTTGTAAAAAAAATAATACGTGGTGTAAATTTGAAAATGTCACGACCTGCTGTATGTTGTAAAAAAAAACCTTTGCAGCGTATATCAGGTGTAAATCCTATAACATAAATCAAAGAGTGTAAATCATAAATACTCAGCAGGAGTGTAAATCAGAAATTCTAAACGTTATTTCAGGGTTGTGAGGAGTGATATCAAGTTTTTAAATGAGTCACTCATAAGAAGTAGTGTTAGTCATTACAAGGAACTTATTTATCTCTTAACTAACCTAACCTGTGTTAAAACCTTACACCTGTCTACTAATTCACCACACCTGTATGTTAAAACCTTACACCTGTCTACTAATTCACCACACCTGTATGTTAAAACCTTACACCTGTCTACTAATTAACCTCACCTGTATGTTAAAACCTTACACCTGTCTACTAATTAACCTCACCTGTATGTTAAAACCTTACACCTGTCCACTAATTAACCACACCTGTATGTTAAAACCTTACACCTGTCTACTAATTAACCTAACCTGTGTTAAAACCTTACACCTGTCTACTAATTAACCACACCTGTATGTTAAAACCTTACACCTGTCTACTAATTAACCTCACCTGTATGTTAAAACCTTACACCTGTCTACTAATTAACCTCACCTGTATGTTAAAACCTTACACCTGTCTACTAATTAACCTCACCTGTATGTTAAAACCTTACACCTGTCTACTAATTAACCTCACCTGTGTGTTAAAACCTTACACCTGTCTACTAATTAACCTCACCTGTGTGTTAAACCCTTATACCTGTCTACTAACCTCACCTTAGTTAATACCTTACACCTGTCTACCACCTTACACCTGTCTACTAACCTCACCCTGTGTGTTAATACCTTACCTGTAGCCATCTGGGTTTAAATGGTCCAATCCCACAGTAGGTGTGTTTTAAGTCCTCCTGAGTGTGGATCAAAGCCCTGGCCTGCCAGATGGACTCCTCACTGGGCTTGTGCCGGTTGTCGTTACTGTCACTCAGTTGTTTCAGGAAGGTGGGCTTAGACAGGCGGCCGCTGGGCTTCTTCTTCTGTTTATCCATGAGCCCGTTTTGTTCAGGGGTCATAGTTAGTCCTGTAATACAAGGATGAGTCTAGAGACAGACAGACCGACAGACAAGAGAGACGGAGAGAAAGACTGACAGAGAGATAGAGAAAGAGACAGACAGACAGACAGATAAGAGAGATACAGACAGACACAGACAGACAGACAGATAAGAGAGATACAGAAAGACACAGACAGACAGACAGATAAGAGAGATACAGAAAGACACAGACAGACAGACAGATAAGAGAGATACAGAAAGACACAGATAGACAGACATATAGAGAGAGACAAACAGACAGACAGACAGACAGATAAGAGAGATACAGAAAGACACAGACAGACAGACAGACAGACAGACAGAGAGACAGACAGACAGACAACCAGACAGAGAGCCAGACAGATAAAGAGAGATACCGACAGACACCCGAGGTTTCTAACACCCACCCACCAGTACAGTGCTGTGGTCATTAAACCCAACAAGTGTTCTTATCTTGAGTGTCTTCTCTACCTTCACCAAGTGACCCCGGGGAGTCAACAGGTACATCGCCTACACTCTCTGACGCACTTAACACTCTTTTTGACGCACTTAACACTCACTTTGACTCACTTAACACTCTCTCTGACGCACTTAACACTCTTTTTGACGCACTTAACACTCACTTTGACTCACTTAACACTCTCTAATTCACTTAACACTCTCTCTGACTCACTTAACACTCTTTTTGACGCACTTAACACTCACTTTGACTCACTTAACACTCTCTCTGACGCACTTAACACTCTTTTTGACGCACTTAACACTCACTTTGACTCACTTAACACTCTCTCTAATTCACTTAACACTCTCTCTGACTCACTTAACACTCTTTTTGACGCACTTAACACTCACTTTGACTCACTTAACACTTTCTCTAATTCACTTAACACTCTCTCTGACTCACTTAACACTCTTTTTGACTCACTTAACACTCACTTTGACTCACTTAACACTCTCTAATTCACTTAACACTCTTTGATGCACTTAACACTCTCTCTGACTCATTTAAAACTCTCTGACTCACTTAACACTCTCTCTGACTCACTTAACACTCTTTGATGCACTTAACACTCTCTCTAACTCACTTAACACACTCTTTGACTCACTTGACACTTTTTCATGTACTTAACACTCTCTGACTCACTTAACACTCTCTTTGACTCACTTAACACACTCTTTGACTCACTTAACACTCTTTCATGTACTTAACACTCTCTCTGACTCACTTAACACTCTCTTTGACTCACTTAACACTCTCTTTGACTCACTTAATACTCTTTCATGTACTTAACACTCTCTCTGACTCACTTAACACTCTCTTGACGCACTTAACACACTCTTTGACGCACTTAACACACTCTTTGACTCACTTAACACTCTTTCATGTACTTAACACTCTCTCTGACTCACTTAACACTCTCTTTGACTCACTTAATACTCTTTCATGTACTTAACACTCTTTCTGACTCACTTAACACTCTCTTTGACGCACTTAACACTCTCTTTGACTCACTTAACACTCTTTCTGACTCACTTAACACTCTCTTTGACGCACTTAACACTCTCTCTGACTCACTTAACACGCTTTGATGCACTTAACACTCTATCTCTGAACTCACTTAACACTCTTTGATGCACTAGACTCTCTTTGACGCACTTAACACTCTTTAATGCACTTAACACTCTCTCTGACTCACTTACACTCTTTGATGCACTTAACACTCTCTCTGACTCACTTAACACTCTTTGATGCACTTAACACTCTCTCTGACTCACTTACACTCTTTGATGCACTTAACACTCTCTCTGACTCACTTACACTCTTTGATGCACTTAACACTCTCTCTGAACTCACTTAACACTCTTTGACGCACTTAACACTCTCTCTCTGAACTCACTTAACACTCTTTGCCGCACTTAACACTCTCTCTGAACTCATTTAACACTCTTTGACTCACTTAACACTCTTTGACGCACTTAACACTATTTTACACTCTTTTGACGCACTTAACACTCTCTTCTGAACTCACTTAACACTCTTGCCGCACTTAACACTCTCTCTCTGAACTCATTTAACACTCTTGACGCACTTAACACTATTTGACGCACTTAACACTCTTTTGACGCACTTAACACTCTCTGAACTCACTTAACACTCTTTGCCGCACTTAACACTCTCTCTGAACTCATTTAACACTCTTTGACGCACTTAACACTATTTGACGCACTTAACACTCTTTGCCGCACTTAACACTATTTGACGCACTTAACACTCTTTGACGCACTTAACACTATTTGACGCACTTAACACTATTTGACGCACTTAACACTCTTTCACGCACTTAACACTCTCTCTCTGAACTCACTTAACACTCTTTGACTCACTTAACACTTTTTGATGCACTAAACTCTCTTTGACGCACTTAACACTCTCTCTCTGACTCACTTCAAAGGTACACCCTCACTAGTATACCCACACTAGGTATACTGTACCTCGTAGGCATACCTGTCGTCTGTGTATTGCTCACACTGAATTGACGTAAACTTGTTTGACGATTTTACTGAATCTCTCTCTCTCTCTCTCTCTCTCTCTCTCTCTCTCTTTGGACCAGATGACAGATGTATATAAGTTTACATTAACAATAATGTTAACACATAATAGTAAACAATATTTTTGGGTGAGACTTAGTGTACACAGACCACTGGACCTGAACCTTAGACTAGAGTAAATAAGATAATTTATAAGATGTGACTTAGCAGTATTAATGACCAATAGTGTTAGTGTGTCACTGACGACAGGTAGCGAGGAATACCTGTCGGTGTGGTAGTGCTGACAGTGAGACGGCAGTAGCTGTGGTGGGCTGTGGCTGCTTCGGTGGCCTGTGGTGGATTGTTGATACTGTGATGGACTGTGACAGCGGTTACAGCTGTGGTGGACTGTTACAACAGTAGTGATTGGCTCCTGTGACAGCTGTGGTGGACTGTTACAACAGTAGTGATTGGCTCCTGTGACAGCTGTGGTGGACTGTTACAACAGTGTGTGATTGGGCTCCTGTGACGTGGTGGACTGTGATTGGCCCTGGACAACAGTGATTGGCACAGTTGTGGTGACTGTTACAATAGTGGTTGGCTCCTGTGACGGCAGCTGTGGTGACTGTTACAACAGTAGTGATTGGCCTGCTGACGGCTGTGACAGCTGTGTGGTGGACTGTTACAACAGTGATGATTGGCTCCTGTGCAGCTGTGGTGAACTGTTGCGGTGGTGATTGGCTCTTAACCGACTCTGTGACAGCTGTGGTGGACTGTTACAACAGTGGTGATTGGCTCCTGTGACATCCGTGTGGACTGTGGCTGTGGTGGACTGTGGCGGCTGTGATGGACTGTGGCAGCTGTGGTGGACTGTGGCGGCTGTGGGACTGTGGCGGCTGTGGTGACTGTGACAGCTGTGCGGTGGACTGTGACAGCTGTAGAATCGGCAGCTGTGGTGGACTGTGGACGTAATGGCATGACCAGGACTGTGGCGCTGGCGGTGGACTGTGGCAGCTGTGGGTGGACTGTGGCATGTGGTGGACTGTGGCGGCTGTGGTGGACTATGACGGGGTGGTGGACTGTGGCAGTTGTGGTGGACTGTGGCAGCTGTGGTGGTGTGGCGCTGTGGTGGACTGTGGCGGCTGTGGTGGACTGGCGACGACTGGTGGCGGACTGTGGCAGCTGGCGGTGGACTGGTGGCGCTGGCAGCTGTGGACTGTAGCAGCTGGACTGGCTGTGGACTGGCGCTGGTGGACTGTGGCAACTGTGGTGGACTACCGGCAGCTGTGGTGGACTGTGACGGCACAGCGGTGGCTGTAACGGCTGGCTGGTGGACTGTGACTGGCAACTGTGGTGGACTGTGGTGGACTGACAGCTGTGGTGGACTGTGGCAACTGTGGTGGACTGGTGGACTGTGGCAGCTGTGGGTGGACCGTGGCAGCTGGCAGTGGGCTGTGGCGGCTGTGGTGGACTGTGGCAGATCTGGGTGGACTGTGCGGCTGTGGTGTTGGACTGGCAGCGATGGTGGACTGTGGCAGCTGTGGGTGGAATGTGGTAGCTGTGGTGGACTGTGGCAACTGTGTGGACTGGCGGCTGTGGTGGACTTCTGACGCTGGTGGACTGTGGCCGCGGCGGTGGTTCCAGCGACCCGCTGTGGTGGACTGTGACCGCTGCAGGCTGGCTGTGGCAGCTGTGGTGGACTGTGGCAGCCGTGGTGGACTGTGGCAGCTATGATGGACTGTGGCGTGGCGGTGGACTGTAACAGCTGTGGTGGTTGGTAGCTGGGTGATGCTGACTGTGGTGGTGCCGCAGCTGTAGTGGTATGACGGCTGTGGTGGACTGTGGCGGCTGTGGTGGACAGTGGCAGCTGTGCGGTGGACTATGACAGCTGTGGTGGACTGTATGTGGTCAGCGCTGTGTGTGGCAGCTGTGGTGGACTATGACAGCTGTAGGACTGTTGGTCTGTGGAGCGGTGCTGACTGGCTGTGGTGGACTGACAGCGCTGCGGTGGACTGTGGCAGCTTGTGACTGGATGCTGGCGGCTGGCGGTGGACTGTGACAGCTGTGGTGGACTATGACAGCTGCAGGTGGCGGACTGTGGCAGCTGGGAGGACTCGTGACAACTGTGGTGGGACTATGACAGCTGTGGTGGTCTGGCAGCTGTGGTGGACTGTCGCAGCTGTAAGTGACTGACAGCTGTGGTGGACTATGACAGCTGGCAGTGGACTGTGGCAGCTGTGGTGGACTGTAGCTGTGGTGGACAGTGGCAGCTGTGGTGGACTGTGCAGCTGTGGTGGTGTTGACAGCTGTGGTGGACTGTGACATTGTGGTGGACTGCCCGTGGTGATGCTGATGCCAGACTGGGTGGGTTCTCAGGCTACTCACCCACACCCTCATCTTTTCTCCCTCAGTCTCCTCCTAGACCCTCCCTCCCTCCACCCCTCCCTCCCTCCTACCCTCCCTCCCTCCTACCCCCTCCCTCCCTCCTACCCCTCCCTCCTCCCTCCCTCCCACCCCCCTCCCTCCCTCCCCCCTCCCTCCCCCTGCCCCTCCCTCCTCCCCACCCTCCCCCTCCCTCCCCCCCCTCCCTCCTTCCCTCCTCCCCTCCTACCCCTCCCCTCCCTCCCTACCCCCCTCCCTCCCTTCCCTCCTCCTACCCTCCTCCTCTACCTCCACCCCCTCCTCCCTACCCCTCCTCCCTCCTACCTCCTCCCTCCTACCCCCCCCTCCTACCCCTCCTCCCCCCCTCCCTCTGCCTCCTCCCACCCCCCCTACCCCCTCCTTACCTCCCTCCCTAACATAACAGTATTGCATGTGTAACTACGAAATGACCTCTAAAATGAGGTCCAAACACGGATCCAGAGGGTCACGTTCTGGCTGACAATAAAAGCATGACTGGCAATAAGCTTTAACCACTTGAATATTAGCCCTACATCCCCCGCCAGCTTAATTCACCTGCGGGGTTAGGTTACGTTACCTTATGTTGCATTACAGTAGGTCAGATTAGGTTAGGTTAGATAGGTTAGGCTAGGTTAGGTTAGGTTAGGTTAGATATGTTAGGTTAGATTAGGTTAGGTTAGATTAGGTTAGGTTAGATATGTTAGGCTAGGTTTTATGAGGGTAGGTTACGTTATGTTACGTTAGAATAGGTTAGATTAGGTTAGGTTAAGTAAGGTTAAAATAGCGTTAATATGGTTACTCTTAAGGTGAAGTTATGCTGGGGTGGTGATTCTTAAGTAATCCAAGTTTTGCAAGAAGACATGTCAGTGTTGTGAGGCTTACCTCGACGTAGTTGTTGCTGGATCATGATTACAGTTCAGGAGTTGAGGATGGAAAGAGGAAGGAGAGAGAAGAAAACAATATTAACAGGATATACGCTTCAAGATCTTCCTTTATTCTTTTAAACGAGATGTGACTAATTCAGGTTCTGTATGCTAAAGATTTTATGTAGATTGTTACAAGACTAGCGAGATTCCCCTAAAATTATATCTTGCGGATGTGAGACCTCACTTGGAAGATGCGGTTTATTTCTGGTCACCGTACTACAGAATGATTATTGAATCCCTAGAAAGCATACAGAATAAAATGACGAGACTAATCCTGGGCAATAGGAACCTTGAGTAGAGAGACAGATTAAAGCATCTTAATTTTCACTCCCTCGAGAGACGTAGAGTGAGGGGCGATATGATCAAGGTGTTTTAATGGAAGTCAGGGTTAAACAAAGGTGATATAATAAAGGTACTTAAATTATCCAACCAGGAGCGATCTCGTAACAATGGTTTTACATCTGAAAAATTTAGATTTAGGCACAAGATAGGTAAACATTGATTGGGAAATAGAGTAGTGGATGAGTGGAACAAGTTACCAAATATCATCATTAACTCGAGCACGCTGGATAGCTTTAAACAAAGGTTGGACGGATATGTAAGCGATCGGGGTTGGGTGTAAACGGGACTGCCCAGTATGGGTCAAGAGGCCCTCTGCAGTTTCCTCCATTCCTACGTACTGTCCATGTTCGGTGAGGTAAGACACTATATAGGTGGTACTGTCCATGTTGGGTGAGGTAAGACACTATACTGTATAGGTGGTACTGTCCATGTTGGGTGAGGTAAGACACTGTATCGGTGGTACTGTCCATGTGGGGTGAGGTAAGGCACTGTATAGGTGGTACTGTCCATGTGGGGTGAGGTAAGGCACTGTATAGGTGGTACTGTCCATGTGGGGTGAGGTAAGGCACTATATAGGTGGTACTGTCCATGTAGGGTGAGGTAAGACACTGTATAGGTGGTACTGTCCATGTTGGGTGAGGTAAGACACTGTATAGGTGGTACTGTCCATGTGGGGTGTAAGGTATAGGTGGTACTGTCCATGTGGGGTGAAGGCACTATATAGGTGGTACTGTCCATGTAGGGTGAGGTAAGACACTGTATAGGTGGTACTGTCCATGTGGGGTGAGGTAAGGCACTATATAGGTGGTACTGTCCATGTAGGGTGAGGTAAGACACTGTATAGGTGGTACTGTCCATGTGGGGTGAGGTAAGGCCCTGTATAGGTGGTACTGTCCATGTAGGGTGAGGTAAGACACTGTATAGGTGGTACTGTCCATGTGGGGTGAGGTAAGGCACTGTATAGGTGGTACTGTCCATGTGGGGTGAGGTAAGGCACTATATAGGTGGTACTGTCCATGTAGGGTGAGGTAAGACACTGTATAGGTGTTACTGTCCATGTGGGGTGAGGTAAGGCCCTGTATAGGTGGTACTGTCCATGTAGGGTGAGGTAAGGCCCTGTATAGGTGGTACTGTCCATGTAGGGTGAGGTAAGACACTGTATAGGTGGTACTGTCCATGTGGGGAGAGGTTAGGTTAGATTAGGTTGCACTGTCCATGTGGGGTTATTTTACTCTAAAAACTTTATTGACAAAGCTTGGAGTACAGTTTGCCTATTCTGAGTAATTAATTCAGGTCTTGACACTGAGGGTGGTATCACTTCTCACTACTAACTTGTGGTTGTCTCTAAAAACACTGAATATAGAATGGTACTGCATTATTATTATTATTATTATTATTATTATTATTACTATTATTATTATTATTACATTTTCGCCCCCAAGGCCCCGATGTGGGTCAGTGACCTGTGCCCGGATGGGCTAATACTGTAAAAAAAAAAAAATGGCAGCATTACCTCTCTGCGTCGCACCAAGAAACCGGGATGTATAGATGATGAATTTGAAAGTAAAGACTTTTGGTGTTGTTGATATATGGTACTGAAGAAGAACAAGAAGAAGAAAGAATAAGGTCTACCTATCAACCAGACAACAGTTGACAACCGTGTTGGTTGACTTTCGTATAGGAGGTGATGGCAAAGTGTAAGCTCTGGTGTTGGTACTAACAGCAACAGTGGTATATTAGTTATAATAACAACAACTGAGCTAGCAGCAAATCCCACAGCAGCAGGAATGATATCAACCATTAAGGGAGGGTCAGGCGGGGCGTGCTGTCCCAGGATCACAAATGACCATCTTGGCGCCGCTTTTATTCTATCAGATGCTGCATCGTCATCACTAATATACGACCATACGTAGATTCTCGGCAGCTGTGTAACGACAGAGAGGCGGCACAGCATCGAGAACTTTCATAGGGATGAGTCTTATACTGACCTCAAGACCCCCAGACTCCTTATCCCGTACGCCCATGATATCAGCGATAATTAAACTGGCGTAAATTTAAAGATTATTTAAGTCTATATCTTTGTTATTTCTTCTAAATCATAACTAAATATAGTTAAACTGAAGGGGGTATGCATGACGAATCTTGTCGTATTCTTCAACACGATAGGAGCAATAATTCTCTCCGTGATTTTTTTTTTTTTTTTATTTCTATCCTCTTCGCCACTGATGGGCTCGTTAGCCGCTTGGACGATCGGTTACGTCTCTGTTACACAATGTTGGCAAATACTGGGCATGCACTGGCTCCTGAATGTATCTGAACCTGCTCTAGTGCTAGGTAAAGTCTGGGTTTGAAAAAGCTCACACTCGGTGCCGTCACAACTCTCTCTGGCAGATTGTTCACATTCAGTCTCTGCTAATGCTGTTTCTTCGTTCCATTGGGACATGTGATACGCCTCCTTACTGTTGGTACGACCTATGTGCATCCTCTACACTTTGTAACGTTGAATCTTCGCAGCCATTTCTTCGACCACTCTTGAAGCTGACAAAGATCTTTCTGTAGCTCTTTCCAGTCCGTTTGGTTCTTAATATCCCTGAACAACTTGGCATCGTCCGTAAACTTTTTTTTTCTATTTTACTGGGAAAGGACCACCCGGGCACAGGTCATCGACCCACAAAGAAGCCGGGGGGAGTGGTAAGAGTATAACAAAAATAAAATTAGACGAGAAAAAGGCTTTGTTAATCTACACCACAAAGTTGCTGGAAAACCATATCAGGATGTCATATCATGTCATGTGTTACGGTCTGGGCTTTCAGAGAGAATTATTTAGGTACCCCTTATTATACCATCATACTCTGTTATCTCCATTAGCTATAGTTCGTATAAATTATTTGTTTCTACTTATAATACTGTATGTTGGGAAAAGTATTCATAATATTTTGATGTTTCCATTATTTTATTAAATTATAGCGCATATTTGTAATTAAAAATATTAAAAAAAATTGTCCGAAACTAGATATTATATATCGGTTAGAGGGCGCAGTAGCGTCTTTTCATATTTTCGCGCACGTAAATATAGCAGCAAGTGTCCCAAGGAAAATTGGTTTGTATAGCTGTAATATTGTGTTGTGTGTTAATATGATGGAGTTATTTGCAGGGATTATGGTGTTGTTAAAGAGAGAGAGAGAGCCAAATATTTGTTGTGAGGACATTTTGGGGAATGTAAAAGACATGGTTCCTGCTGCCAGGAGTTTAACGTGTAGGCAGGGGGCTATGTGACCGCTATTCGGCCGAGTAGCCATTGACTATTCACCGTGGATTTTCTATATTTTTATTGTGTATTGTATATTCATTATTGTACCATGTGAATAAATATTTGGTAAATTTGAATTAGGGCACACAACTCTGTTAGAAAGTCAAAACTATGTTTGTCGAGTGTATTTTTGAGTGCTTTGATTGGTTTTGACTTTGATTTCCGTCGGAAATTGCCTGTATTTTAGTTATCGGGGGTTTTGAGTGGGGAGTTTTCCGACAAAAATACAAAAACATATAAACCGAACCTTTATTTGGATGACCTAAAGTGGGTATTATTGTATTTCCACACCCAACATTCCTACCCCTAATCTATTATCATATTCGAAAAAGACGTCTAATTATAAGATAATTTTCTTCTATTACATTACCGTCGCAAATGTATAATAACGAAGAACTTGCCAAAAGTGTGTAACAGAGACGTGACCGATCGCCCAAGCGGCTAACGAGTCGATCAGTGGTGAAGAGAATAAAAGTAAAAAAAGTAAAAATAAAGAGTCAATTGAGAGTTTAACGATAGTAATCAAAATGGATGAAATGAGTGTCTATATTGTACAGGGATTGTGTCATTCATTTCAACTTGTGAGGAACAAGAGTGAGAGAGAGGAACACGTCCTTAAGTTCAATTAAAACATATTAATAATATATTGGTGTTTTATTTTATAATTAACAATCTGATTCTAAGGTCATTATTTAGTTACATCAAGATTGGCTATTCTTCACTCCCTGATTATTAAACACCCCAAACTAACCTAATCCTAAGTTAACCTAACCTAATTTAACCTACTCTAATCCAACCTAATCACATCTTACACAACCTAAACTAACCACATCACCAAACTTCCTACAGTTTAATTGACCATCGGGTGTTTAAAGTTAATGTGACGAAATGGTGATAGGTACTCGAACACCCTTCTTATGTGTGCCTCAGGGCCAACAGGACATGAACCTAGGACGTAATTTATGAGGTACTCATTATTCAAGAATGATTAAATATTAATAAGATAATTAGTATTTAATCATTATGAATTTATATGTGAAAGTTAATTAATTTTTAATAATTATTGTTCAATAATTGTCTAGTTCAAGAGAGAAGTGCTTTCCCATCTGGAGCATATCCCCGAGATATACTAGGGACTGTCACTGACAGTCTATCACAGTGGTCCTCAACCTTGTTTGCCCCATGCACCCCTTTCACCATATGTCAGAATGTCATTCCCCCCTCCTTTCCAAGATTGTCTGCCTCAAAAAGTGCATTCCAAATAATATGCATATAATACTGAAAATCCTTTATTTTTTCCATATTAGTATCAGTTTTCCCCTCCCCTGAAAACCTGAGGGGGGAAATTCCCCCCTGGTTGAGAACCCCTGGTCTATCAGTTGGTTGAAAATGTTCAAAGGAGGGCCACCAGACTGGTGCTTGCGCTTCGGCACCTCGACTAAACTGAGAGATTGGAGCGCCTGAACTTGCCTAGCTTTTATGACAGATGAGCAAGGGGCCACCTAACTGAGGTGTATAAGCATCTCAAGGGGCACTACTCAGTCGAGCTGAAGGTTGAAGAAGCCGCAAGTCCAGAAAACTGAGGGCAAACTTTTTCGGAGCAAGAGTTTGAACTCTTGGAACAATCTGCCAGATAGTGTTGTGGCGGTGTAGTGGATTTCTCCCCTACAAACACTGTTTGTCGCTGAGTAGCCGACCCCGCGAATTCCACAGTGTATGCCTCGTGGTCTAGGTCAACCAGCGCCGCCCACGGAGCGGGGATCAACTATCTACCCACGCCTACCTCCACTAAAAAAGACCTGACCTCGTGGTGACCTGTCTCTTTTCTACCTACACCAACCAGCCAGCAACACCTCCTCCTCCTCCGCCTGCCTGGCGGTCCTCGCTCCCGCCGGCGAGCATGGCGACCCACAAGCTGGTCCTCCTCTGAGCACCCTCACCAACCAGCTCTCTCTTCTTCTAGCTACAGCCGCAGCAAGCTACACCACCTCCTCCGCCGCTGCCTGGGGTCCTCGCTCCCACCGGCGAGCATGGCGACCCACAAGCTGGTCCTCCTCTGAGCATCCTCACCAACCAGCTCTCTCTACATCACGCTTGTAACCATGCTGTCACTTCCCAGCACCAAGCTGCATTGTACATCCAATACAACATGTATACAGAGTGCACATTGTGAGTTTCCTTTCTCCATCCCATCCCGAGTCCGAACAAACATCTCATACCCCACAGTGGCACTGAGTGTAAGCACTTTCAAGACCAGACTTGACCAACACTGCAGCAGATTCAGGTACATTCAGGAGCCGGTGCACACCCAGTACTTGCCAACAGTGCATAACAGAGACGTAACTGATAGCAAAGCGGCTTACGAGCCGATCAGTGGTGAAGAGGTTAAAAGGAAAAGTTGAGAATAATAATTATTATTTAGTTATACCGTATAGTTAATATGGCGAGTTTAATATCTCGTTATGACTTATAAATAGTATCATAATATTTATAAATTATTACTAAATAGACTTTAAATAGCCAAAGGAATTTTTTCATTTAATTTTTTTAGTGGATTTGTAAAAGCTGTCAAATCATTTGGTTCTCTGGCTATAGACTTAAGTTTCGTTTAATATTAAAATATTACCTTTAGGGGGAATTTAATCAATAATTTAACATTATAATTAAAGCATAATTTATTTATGTGATGTAAATTTTATTAGTAAAATACTTTTATTACAGTAATATTAATGAAAACTTGTAATTACCGAAAGATAAGAGAGAGAATCGGACAAGGTGTAGCAGGACGACAACAAGTGACGTTGGTTTGGGAGTATTTGTTAATTTTGTGAATAAATGTTAATTTGTGGGCCTTCCTCCCTCCCCTGTGGTAAGTTAACATTATGTATGTGTGTATGTATATACGTATGGCCTTGTTAAGGTAATAAATAAGACACAGTACAACTAATGTGGTCGTTTTGTGTATTTTTGTTAATTGGTGGGGCATTCCTCCCTCCCTCGTGGTAAGTTAACATTATGTCTGTCCTTGTTAACTAGGTACCACTTAAGTTTATATTTATTTACCATATAATATAGTAATGTTATAATATATTACTGGTATAATATAGTACTGGTATAATATTGTGCTGGTATAATATAGTACCAGTGTAATATAGTATTGGTATAAGGGTCCGACTAATTACCCAAATGTACCCAAATGTAGTCAAATATAGCCGGAATGAAGTTAAATAATGGTCCTAGATGAATAAATCGGACTGCCAATCACTTCTCGACTAGTATTTGGTGTCACAGTCACAAAAAATTGGTAAACTTAATTTAATCTGAGTTAATAGGTCGCGTGCATGTACCGACGGAGCGAGGAATTACCCAAATGTAGTCAAATATAGCCGCAATGAAGTCAAATAATGGTCCTAGAAGAATAAATCGGACTGCCAATCACTTCTCGACTAGTATTTGGTGTCACAGTCACAAAAAATTGGTAAACTTAATTTAATTTGAGTTAATAGATCGAGTGCATGTACCTAACCTAACCTAACCTCGACTAGTATTTGGCTTCACGAAGTAACAAAAAATTGGTAAACTTAATTTAATCTGAGTTAATAGATCAAGTGCATGTACCTAACCTAACCTAACACCACAACTCAGATTAAATTAAGTTTACCAATTTTTTTTGACTTTATGACACCAAATGATAATCGAGAAGTGATTCACAGCTCGAATTACGCTTGTACGACCATCATTTGACTTCATTGCGGCTACATTTGGGTAATTCCTCGCTTCGTCGGTACATACACGCGACCTATTAACTCAGATTAAAGTAAGTTTTCCAATTTTTTGTGACTTTCTGACACCAAATACTAGTCGAGAAGTGATTAGCAGTCCGATTTATTCATGTAGGACCATTATTTGACTTCATTGCGGCTATATTTGGGTACATTTGGGTAATTAGTCGGACCGCTGGTATAATGTAGTACTGGTATAATATAGCACTGGTATAATATAATACTGGTATAATATAGTACTGGTATAATATAATACTGGTATAATATAATACTGGTATAAGTTAATATTCGTCCATTGGCTGTCTGCAGGTTCCCAATATAACAGACACAAAGACTGATTATATTAATACAGTATCACAAATTTCAAGGCTTAAATTTATATTCCCGCTATGTTGCCTGAGTCTTTTATCATCTTGTCCTCACTTTTATCATCCAGTAGATAAATTCTGTCCTCACTTTTATCATCCTGTCCTCAATTTTATATGATAATACTGTACTGGTATATTTTATATATGTTGATACTGTACTGGTATATTTTATGGTAATTAATGATGACTGACTCGCGGCCAATTTTTCATGGGAAACGTTTATAAAAAACTCAGTTTCACTGTGTTATGTATTGGACACTGTCATAGTTTGTGAAAATGTGTTAAAACCTGGTTATTTCTAAAGTAAACTTATCCTAACCTAACCTCACCTCACCAAGTTTTTTTTATAGTAAATATAGTGTTTTGTTTGTTACAGGAGATGTTACAACAAAACTTTGGGAGATTGAACTGCTCTATAACAGCTGAAAATGATAACTGGAGCATGGAACAAAAGCTTCCACCAGCACTGCCACCACCACTACTAGCACCACCACCTATGGCAAGGTAAACTATAGGAACAGCTCTCATAGTCTATACAGGAAATCTTTGTGCTCATCAAACTCTTAAGACAAGTTGTTGTAAATATGGTCCTGTTAGTCATTTGTCTGTCTGTCTGTATTCCATTTTTATATCTTTCTATCTATTTAACAGTCTGTGGCTCCCAGCCTGTTGACCATGGGGGTAATTTAAACCATGTGAGTTCATAATAAAACTCCTAACAGAGTGCCAGAGTTTAAACGAGGGGTCTGCAACCCTCATATTTGTGGCCGGCATTATAGCATCCATAATATGTGATGAGCGGTCGGCTAAGTTTATAAGTAAGATAAGGATGTTGGAACACTTGATGACCTAATGTGATACTCTTTGTTGAACTGGTAAATTATACCTGACAATTCTAGTACCTGTAACAATTACTGTTGAAAATCTGCTTCAACTCCTAAAGTTCAGTTGATCCTGGGGTGCCTAAAGTTCAGTTGATCCCTGGGGTGCCTATACAAGTTGTACCTCTCTAGTCCGGCATTCTGTGGTCCGGAAACTCCCGTGGCCGGAACGATTTTAGTTTGCCCAATAGGTAGATAGGCAGCCATTATTATTATTTATTTTTAATTTTTTTTTTTACTAATCTGAATTATTATTATTATTACAGGAGTATTAAATTTTCTCCCCTCAGGCCCCAATGTGGGTCAGTGACCTATGCCCGACTAATCCCCGTAAAAAAAGCCGCGGGATGTTAAGGTTTGTTTACATCCGGCAGTTCAGCTGCTCTCTCTCTCACTGTTTGTCTATACAGAGTACAACAGCCCATAAGAGCCCGCACCGATAGATATAAGAACAGCACCATCCCAACTATTGTTAAAATAATAAACAACTCCTGATTTATGTACTGTACAGCCCTGTAAATGTATTCAATGCATATTACAGTATATCATTATGTCTAAATGAAATGTAAGTCTGTATATTTTCATCCACCGGCTGCAACTCTATTAATAAACCGTTTATTATTATTATTATTATTATTATTATTATTATTATTATTATATATGAGCAGTAAGTAAGTGTTGCTTTCATATTCTTATGTAGAGTAATGACGATATGTTTTCATGTGCTCACTTACATATTCGCAGTCTCACTTTTTTCCTTTACCATTAATGGTTAGCTACTTTTATTGATCCATTTATTAACATTAAATAACATTACTTAAAACAACCATATTAATTTTTTACATTAATTTTACTACAGCTACAACCAGGGTCTTATTTTCTTCAGTTTTATATGTAGAACCAGTCAGTCACTGGTTTTGTAATCAACGAAGACAATGCTGTCTCATTTCTTCGTGTGTTTCAATATTCTACGTATTATTAATGAATTGTATTGCTCATTTTGCACACATAAACATTAATTCAATAAAAATGACATTCAGTAATAAACAATAATGAATCCTTTGGACATAAGAGAAATGACGCTGTTTACACGATTGTGCATGTAGTCTGAACGTTGACAGGCCGTTCAAACCCGTCGAAATTCGAGTTTCCGCCGTCAAAATTTTAAATTATGCAGTGTTTTTTTTTTGTGTTTCCAAATAAAAAACGTTGAATTAAAAACTCGCGAAATTTGAGAAGCTACTGTATGACATTTAACCCTTCAATGTGTCTTCAAAGAGACCATGAAGCAGAGAAAGTGGTGCTAGTGCTTCCAAGTGTATGCACAAGTCACTATCTATCCAGGAAAAGGGTGAATTTCCATGGTCTGGAAATTTCCATGGTCCGGCACCGGTCAGGTCCCGAGGTTGCCGTACTAGAGAGGTACAACCTGTATAAGCTTTGGGTAGAGCTCCTTTGTAACTTGGCTTATATATAAATAAGTTAAGGGGTTAATTTACAAACCCAAAATGGTCTTTTCTCCATTTATTCATAAACTGGAAATGTCACAGGCTATTAGTATAAGCACCGCAATTAACACTGTGAGCTGTGAGTGTTACTTGAGGACAGGGCTCATTAGGGCTGAGGTCCAGAGGACTAGTACCTGTGAGGGGAGGTATCTCTGAGAAGAGAGGGGCCTCTGAAGGAGATGCCGAGTTAACCCTACAATCTCAAGGTCAGCCTACTAAGGAATTTCCCTTCACGTGAACAGCGCAAGGCATATCACAGCTTATGGAAGATTACAATAGGGTGATTGTTTTATGCAAACTAAATGTATTAACCCAAGTTTATGTAATTGTTATTGCCATTAGACAAGAGATAATACAGGGTCCTAAATTAACTAGGGTTTTAAATATGAAAAGTTTTTGGCCGAACCGTTGTTATCAGAGGTTTTACTGTACTTCTATCATATCTCCTCGCTCGCTTCGTCTTTCTAGGGAATGCAAGTTTAGTTTCTTTAATCTACCCGGTATCTTGATAGGGAAGGTTTCTAAGTCCCGGAATCATTTTCGTCATTTTTCACTGCACCGACTCCAGGGAGTTGATATCCATTCTATAATAAGGGCACCAGAACTGAACAGCATAATCGAGGTGTGCCTGACTAGCGCAAGATATAGTTGCAATATGACCTCCACACTCTTATTACTTACACTTCTAGATATAAAACCTAATACTACTCTGTTTGCCTGATTTCGAACATTAACACACTGTTTTCTAGGCCGAAGGTCTGGCCTTACGAGTACCCCTAGGTCTCTTTCACAAGTCGACTTCTCAAGTTTTATGCTGTTATTGTTGTATACGTTTACAGTGTTTGTTCTACCAATATTAAGTACGCTGCACTTGCTGGTGTTGAATTTTTATTTGCCATTTTTCTAACCACTCCTGCAGTTAATTTAAATCCTCCTGTAGTATATTTGCATCCTGCCCTGAATTAATCTGCCACCCTATTTTGGTGTCATTCGCAAATTTGCTTATGTCACTGCTGATCCCAGTATCTAGATCGTTTATGTAGATTATGAACAAGAGTAGGCCCAGTACTGACCCCTGGGGAACCCCACTAGTTACACAGCCCCACTCGGATTTAAAACCATCTACGCTGACCCTCTGTGTTCTATCGGTGAGCCATGATTTTATCCAATTTAAAACTTTTCCCTCGGTACTATGAGCCTTAACCCTTAAGCCCCGGGTTAGGGTGCTGCTGGCAGTACCCCTTCCCCCCCGCGGGGATAAATCAAGAAAAAATCAAGTTTAAAAAAATAAATAAAAAAAAAAAGATTGGAAAATAGGTGGACGTGTTGGAACGTCAGCCGGGGCGTGCTAGTCGGATGTTCTGGAACGTCACCCGGGGCCTAAGGGTTAACTTTTCTCAGAAGCTTCTGATGTGGTACTTTGTCAAATACTTTGCTAAAGTCGAACTGTCCTCCGTTAGTTGTCTGACCCTGTCTTGTCGGTTATGTTTTTTTCTGCACGCGGTGGCGAAGTGGTTGACGATTCCACAGTAGTTGCAATTTTTTCCAAATGCAGGACATTGTCTCTGTCCATGTCGATGGCCAGTGCCATTACACCCGAGACAGTTCAGTTTTGGGTCGCGTGGCGTATCCTTACTTTGTTGTCTTCAATTGCTTTCCCAGTCCCGCTGATGTTGTTGTTTGTATCTTGTGTTTACCTTGTTCACATTGGTGCCTTCTTCACCTGCTCCATCTGGCAAGCTTGGGCTTCAGTTGATTCATAAGTGTAAGCGATTTGTAGAGCTTTCTGTACTGTTATGTCTGTCTCCTTCAGGTATGCACGACGCATTTTATGTGAAGTACATTTCTCCGCACTTGGCCCCTTGTGTACGTAGGCGGGTTACGTAGTTGTGTGTACTTTCCCCGACCACCTGCACCAGCATCCGGAACTTGTGTCATTCAAATACTTCGTTTGTTTTCTCACCGAAGTATTCATCAAGTGCTATTTTCATTGTTTTGTACATTGGCTCTGTTTGGTCTGTCGGTATCGCTGGATGTAATGTCTTCATGATTTCCTTCAGTTTCTTTCTTCCATAGAATCTGATGAGTGCTAGTCTTTTGGCATCTTCAGTTATGTTGAATGCAATGAAGGCATCTTCAGCATGCTCTATCCAGTCAGTCCATGCTTGTGTTTAGTCAGTCTCCTCTAGCTCTAGAGGTTATAGTGTTGGTATAGCAGTGGCCATGTTGTGAATAGATGTACCGGTATGTGCTTGATCCTCATCGCCAATTTACTGTATGCACCAACGGTCAGTAATATACTGTTTAATTTTGTTGATGTTTATTGTCTCAATACAGAAGGCACCAATACCTGAAATGTACAGAACAGGAATTAACACACATAGGCTACACCATCTCACACATATACTAGTACACACACTCCAATGACTATACGCTTGGAACAGTACAGTTGGGAACCACTGATCTAACTGCTTATGTATGTCTGTGTGTCTGTCTTTCTGTGCCTTTTAGTATATACCTATCTCAGTCAGTTTTATCTATTTATCAATACAGTACAAGTATTTGTCAGTCTGTCAATCTATGAACTGTATGTCTATCCATATGGCTTACCAGTATCTGTCAGTATCTATTTATTATTTAGAGAATGTATATAAAGTGATTTAAAACTTGCAGACACAGCATAATTGAGTTTTTAAATATTCTAAATATCTTCAATTATTCCAAAGGTCATTAATTAACACTTTATCTAAATGTTTAAACTGGACCCAGATCCTTAATCACCATGTAAAGTTGTACCTTTTTGTTGTATTATATTATATTTTCTTTATTTATAAACCACATCATTTATATAGAGTTTAATAAGTGTTAAAAATTATATTTTCTTCCGAGACACGAATTTGCTAGGTCATCATCTAGCACTGTGCATTGTAGGATTTATTGGGGACCTTAAGAGCGAGTTTGAACTAATGGGAAAACCTGTTAATCCGTCACCTCTCAATCCCCGTAGATGCTGGATAACTGGGATTCTACCTGTCTGTCTAAACTACTGTATTAATGTACCACTAATTTAGCTGGGAAAATTAAGGCAAAAATGACAAGTATGAAAGGCTTACAGTCCCAAGAAAGTTTACATAAACCAAACTTGCATAAAATAAACAACTTCTGTACTGAATGACTGTAAATTTATGGGCATATTTTTATCATAAACTGTTGTGTATATTAAATATTTTTTGTTTGTTTGTTACAGATGAGAACCTTGGGAAATTGAACAGCACCATCACAACTGACAATGATAACTGCAGGCTGAGACAGCTGTCATTGTAGAACTTAATTCCAATGAACACCATAACACCACCACCACAGCACTGCCACCACATATGGCAAGGTAAACTAAAGGAGTCATTTGTCTGTCTGTCTTCCATTTATATCTTTCTATCTACTTAACTGTTTCTGTATGTTTGTGTCTGTCTGTCTTTATGTGCCTTTCAGTATATTCTATCAATACCTATCTCAGTCTCTTTTATCTATTGTACTGTATATCTGTCAATCTATTTATCAATACAAGTATTGGTAAATTTACATTTTCAACTAATATGGCTCTTGAGTCGAGCAATGTGTTTTTCTGATGTCTTAGACCGGACATGGGCAACCTTTCCTCAGTCATGGGCTGCATTGTGATTTAGGTATTTTTCTGCGGGCCAACCCACCAAAATTTATATCCTACCTAACCCAAAAGTAATGCTAATATTGTATTAGCACGGACAGTGAAACAGTTTATCATCATGTTCACCTGACAATATTTTCAGTTTACAATCACAGACTTTTCCCATTGATGAAACAAATCAACTTTAATAATTTTTAAAGTAATGTGTTAATATTTTTTGGCATTTAACACAAGATGAGTGAAGCAGTCTGTGGATATGTTGATTTTTCCGACAGCATCTGTCTTACTTATGAGACACACCCACCAGAATAATGTCATTGTTAATCTTGGCATATGAGGAACTACAGTGAAACAACCTATAGACACATCTATTTATTTTACAATGCCAAGAAACATAATAATAATAATAATAATTAACGGTTTATTGAAAGAGCTTGGCAGCCAGAAGGCTGAAAATATACAGTTACATATTTGGGGAATGGGTTACGAATTACAAATAATATACAAGTAACATAAGTGATACAAATAAGATATATAATAACTAGATGGGGAAAAGCTCAAACTACAGGGCATTTCAACATAGTGACAGTGCAAGAAGTAGTATTTACTGGGAGTGAATACACTGGTTTATTACAAGTTATTGATAATTTTTACAGTGGTTGGGACTGGGCTGTTCTTATAGCGATCAGTTCGTGCACGTATAGGCTGGATACGGTTGTGGTGTCGAACAGCAATTCTCGGGCTAGGGATCTCAGGTGGTAGTAGGAGCCGGTGTCGAGGATGGTGTAGAAGCTTCTTACCAAATTTGCAGATGAGGTCGTGGTGATGGTCAGTGAGAGTCGAAAGGGTCAGTGTGTTAAGCGCTTCTTGATATGTGGAGTAGGAAGGGGAGAGAATAATCTTGCATGCCCTCTTTTGCACTTTTTCTAGGTGTTTACGTTGTGTGGCATTTAGGGAGGAAGACCAGGCATAGGTGAGCTTGGGAAGTATGAATGTTGTGTAAACACTGAGGAGCTTGGGTGCAGGAACTCCGAGGGACTTGAGTCGGCGGAGGAGGTGGAGACGGAAACTTGAGGATTTGACAACTTCACTGACGTGTGGTTTCCAATTTAGTTTGTTGTCTATGGTGACGCCGAGGAGCTTCGTGGAATCTACAACCTGGAGTGTGTTCGGACCTAAAGTATCCTTGATAATAGCAAGGGTTAGGTTCCGGAAAACTACTGTACCATGATAACTGACCAAAATATACCCCCAATAATGTGTAGGTAGTAGTACACTAAAAGATATAATACTAATAACATATCTTTACTACCTTATTTTACAGCATATAAGATGATTATTTTTTGTCTGAAAAATGGCAAAAAAATCAGCCTGCATCCTATGCGTATGTGAAGCTGTGGTCTTCCATAAGCTAATTGTATCTAACCCAACTCCAGAATTAAAAATATGTTATTTCAAACTTAAACACATTATTATTATTCTTAATTAATTAAAAAATAATTATTATAAATATAAAACCTGGATTTATAACTATTGTTCTGATGATGATAACCCGAGATGATTAATGTCTGTACGGCACACACCCAATTCTTCAGAGGTAGCTAAGCAGTAACCATTTCTGAACTCTTACAAGCATTACAATCTAGTGATGCCCTACCTGCAACATTTGTTTTTAAATCTACAAATACCTGAAACAAATGAAGATTTACAGGTAACTTTCTTTTCACATTTACATCTACAGTGACTCCTCCGTTAACGAACTCAATCCATTCCAGAAGGTCGTTCGTTAACCGAAAAGTTCGTTAACCGAAACCATTGTTTCAATGGGTTTTTGGGCAATTGGTTCCAGCTCACCGAAAATTTCCTAAATTCAACAAAAATGGTAGAAAAGTTCACTTACTTTGAGGTGTGTATGTAGAAGGCTCCTGGATGATGATGATGATGATGGGATTTAGAATGGGGATGGAGGAGAAGGAAGAAGAGAAGGTATTGGGGTGGAAGAGAAGTCACCCCATAAAATTTTAGCTCTGGTGTAATTCAAGATTATTTTCTTTAAATCAACACTGCACTGCATTATATATTGTCAATATATAAAATATATTTCAAAATGACCAATAATTTGCTTGGAAACACAGAAAAAAAGCGTTTAGTTGAAGAGAGTCTCAAGCAAGATGTTACCTCCAGTGAAAACAGAGAGAGACTAATGCCTGTTTGCTGTGTTAAGAGGCTGGATGCCGCGCATTAAACTAGTCACTTTACCTTCAATTATGTTCAATAATTGTTAAAATGACAAAAAAATTGAATATTAAACTTTTAAAATTATTGAATAGTATAAACTTCTTGATATTTACTAAAATAGTAAGGAATTTAAGCCCTAGAACCGATTAATGTATTGGCAGACTGATACTAAAGCTGGTTGCCCGGTCAGTGCAAGCGAAAACATGTTGAGGTCGGTTCGTAAGAACTTCGTTAACCGAATTTTTTTTCGTTAACCGAATAGAAGATCCTTATGGAAGGCAGTTCGTTAATCGAAATTACGTTAACCGAGGTGTTCGTTAAACGAGGGGTCACTGTATATATATATATATATATATATATATATATATATATATATATATATATATATATATGCAAGTAAATCACTGTGGGTGCGTGTGATCCAGGTATATGCTGATAACCACAAGGAAAGAAGAAAACACAAAGTTCCCAAGCGCTTTCGTGTAATTCACATCTTCAGGCGTGAGTACAGACTAAGGAGAAGTACAAAACAAGGTATATATATACAGAGGAGGGTGAGATCAAGTCCACAATGGTCAGGTATTAGGTAATAACCCTACTAATCTTCAAAAGCACTGCAGCAGTCGGTAGTCAGGTCAGAGGGTGAGCTGACCCAACCTTCTCACCTGGTTACAAATCTTCTTAATTACGAAATTATCCAGTTTGTACATACCATTACTCAAATTCATGTTGACTGATTCGGTATGTTTAATGAGACTAGATTCTATAATGATTCTACTGTCAATTGAATTACAAGGTAATATTGAGGAGGCATTATCCCAGTCAATGCAATGCTTATTATCCCTCAAATGAACAAACAGAGCATTGGATTCCTGGCCTGTCCTAACACTATATTAATGTTGTTTAAGTCTAGTTACAAGATCTTTACCTGTCTGGCCTAAGTAAAACATATTACATTCCTTGCAAGGAACCTTATAAATGCAGCCACTTGTATTGTTGGGGGAGTTCTTGATTAACATTTGTTTAACAGTGCATGAGTTTTTAAATGCCACATTGACATTCCAGGTTTTTAGTTGTAAAGGAATTTGAGAGAAATTTTTGTGAAATGGTAATACTAAGAGATTCTTATGGTCATGGGTGGGCTTGAGATCGGTTCTAAAGAAAGATTTCTTAGTAATGTTAAGGCATTTGTCTATGAAAGATCTAGGGTACTTAAGGTTCAAGCCAATATTATAGAGATATTTATATTCCTCATCGATGAATTCCGGGCTGCAAATTCTCAAAGCACGTAAAAACATTGATGAAAATACTGACTGTTTGACTCTATTATGGTGTAAGTTATTGAGTTTATCAACCAGATTCATATTATTCTTAATATATACAGTCGGCCCTTAACATACGCGGGGGTTAGGTAACAGAGATACCCGTGAATGTTAAAAATCCGTGTACTTTTGCTGCCCCCCCCCAAAAAACCCCTGGCCCCCCATGTCCTTATTTACCGTATATACCTGTGTGTAGTTCGAGTTTTTAAGACCAAATTATTTTGCAAAAAATTGGGGGTCGACCTTTAAAAGGGTAATAGTTTCGTTAGGTTGAAAAATATTTACCAGTAACTACCAGTAAACAATGGAAACGACGCACCAACGCACCACCAGCTGTGAGTGTCGGTACAGTCGCCAGGGCAGATCTCTTGCGTCATCATAGCTAGCCCAAAGTAGCCAAATCCATGGTATGGTATACACAGGACGATGTAAAACAAAGTATTCATTTGTTGAAATTTATTTGTAGATACTGTACATAAATTTTTGTTCATTACATTTGAAACATCAATCTTTGTTAATTAAATTTGATACAAAAGAAAACTACGATACCGTATTTTCATTAAAATATTACATCACAAGTATATTTTACCTTAACTGTGACTGAATGAATATATTCTCAGAAATAAATATGGAAATGTAATATTTTGGCTGAAATGACGTACATATTGCTGTACAGTGGAAAGTGGGATAAAATTATGAAAACAATGACTTTCGCTTTCTTTTGTTGTTCTTTTGAACGAAAGAAAGCGAAAGAGTCATTGCTTGCGTCACAATTTTATCCCACTTTCCACTGTAATACGCACATCATTTCAGCAAAAATATTACATTTCTATGTTCTCAGAAACAAATGGTAGTTTTGTTGAAACGTAATGTACAGTATTTAATATTAAAATGCAAAAATAGCTATATAAACAATTAATACACCCGAAATATACTGGCTGGCATCTCCACTCATCCCTGCTCCTGCGTCCAAGGTCACCTCACCACTCCTCCCAACTCGCTCCCTCCGCACCGTCACTACTGCCGACAACAAACACAAATGTTTTGTGAATAACTGCACCTCCACTTCCTATGTACAGTACTTGTACTGAACTGTACTGTGCTGTGCATTTTTACAAACAATAAACATGGCAAGAAAAGCTATTAAAAAAAAGAGATAAGAATTTCACTTTACTGTACCGTACCT